AGAAAGTGCAAACGACAAATATGCAAGGAAAAAAAACATTCCTATACATTGGAATGCTGAGATTTGAAGTAAGTATCTGGTATGGTAGTTATTGCAAATACTGTATGAACACTAGATGTAAAGTGAAGATCAAAACCTTAATTTAGGCATGGAATCAAATTCACCCCGCAATGCTACTACTGCAATATCATTAAAAAGGTTTACAATAATTCTATTATTGGCAATAATGTATTTTGAATAACGTACCACTATCGATGACGTCACGTGCACTCGAGTAGGGACCTACATTTTAACCAAGGATTATCTTTGTCTATCACGATAAGCTTATATATAAGATATTTATATTTTTGATACTACAGGGGAAAACATGAACAAATAAGCCTATAAAAATTATAAATGTCCTTGGTTCGACAAGTAAAATAAACGAAAAAATAAATCTCAATCATAACAAAATTTTCTTTGTAATCGCTGATTATACCTATGTCTTTTAAATAAACTTTAAAATATGCGTAAAATATAGATTTACTGGTTAACAAAACTGTGGAGGAAGTACCCAACGTATCTTTAAAATACATTTGAAACTGCTTTTTTTCCCATGGAATAATTTTTGTTCTCCTGTAAATCATCCACTTCTGTACTGTACCCGATTGTATATTGTATTATATTGTATATACTGATAAGCTGTAAAGCTTTAAGTAATAATAAAGAAGAATATATTACTGCCAAGAAAATTTTCACAGAGAAGTAGTGTTTGATATAATTTCATTTGAGGATCGGACTACCTAATTAGAAATTAAAAAAATATGAATAATGGTCCTCATAATGAAACTCTGGTAAGACAATTCGCCGGACAGCTTGGAATTATTTGGGAAGTTATCTCTCTTATCAGAGGGTCATTCCACCTTAACATTTTTGAAACATATCGGAGAGCCGCGTGACTTACTAAGTATTGGGTGTTTCCAAATTGCAAAGAAAGTCGGTTGTGAATGGTAGCAGCGGCAAATAAAGGGGGATGCACTCTACAGTCCTTTTCATTTCTTATTTATTTTCCTTTAATACGTTTTGATCCATTGTAAGTTTTTAACATGTATCTCATTATAAACAAGCCATATACCTTATTATCTTTTTCCCTTCTCATAATGGAATTTTCTGATCCCCCCCCCCCCAATAAATAAGTAGGACAAAGAACTATATATGGTTAGTGTCTCAAATGGCCCCTTAAGGATACACCAAAGGCTTTTTTCAAGATTTTCAACAATTTTGAGATTTTTGGCCAAGAAAAAGAAGTTAATCACTGCTTTATAATGCATGTAAAATTCTTGGTGATTATGAAATGGTTTTCCAATTATTTAACAATAATGAAACATGAACACTACCATATGTGAATGTTCCGTTATTGAAGCTTCTGATTTGATCTGTGACTGCCTGCTCATGAAAGATGTAATAAATCACTGTGACCACTTGGGGAATTCTTCACTAGCCACACAGAGGTTATCAGTAATTAAACTACAGGGACTCTAGATTTAGAGAAAGAGATCTAACAGATCACTGATGACCATAAAATAGGAGGTGGAGCTTAGCTCTTGCCACTTTGCTCGGAAATCTTTCTGATTCAGAATTGAACCTATTTTACTTAATTAAAAGCATCTAAATACAGAAAAGAACCTCCCATTCTTGTGAATATGCATAGGAAATATGGCTAAGTCACAGGTATCCAAAGCTGAATCTCCGAGGTGTCATACATTCCTAGCTTTGGCAGATTTTGTTGTGTAATGGGTTTTTGCCCTCTACTGTAAAGTAAGATCAGGCAGTTTGTGGTATTATTTCAAAGGATTCAGCTCCCTTATTTATGGACCAATTTCTCTGAAAATTGGATGGGTTGCTTCTCAAATGTGTGTTCACAAAACCGTATCTCAGATATTTGATATCCAGCTTAGTTTTGGAATTACTGAGGAAAATGTTAAATTAGGCTAATAAATTGGTAACATTGAAGGGCAAATGGCTGTAACTTTTGAATTAGAAGATTTATCAAAAATCTGAGATACAGTTTTTAAGTTCAATCTTTAATCTACCTTGAGGTAAAATGACCACTTTGAGGGGTTAAATACAAAAAAGTTGATTTATAAAATATTTAAGCACTAAAATTTACATTAATATTTAAATAATTTTTGAATAAGTTATTAATTAAAGTTTAAATTAGGATAATTAAATAGTAAATTTAACAAGCTTTCAAATGATATATACTTTTATTATGTTATCTTTGATAATGAAAGAATTACATGCAAATTAAATTCTGGCATTTGGAAACCTTTGGTGTATCCTTAAAATGAATGTCTTAATTTTACTTTATATATTTATTTACTGTGCACAGTTATACTCATGAAGTTTATCCGTGGTTTAAACTTTGATCAAAACGCCATTAATTTAGAACTTATATGACATCATGAAGTTTCCAGCCATTTTAAAAAATTTTTGTTTAAAATTGCTTATTTTCAGGCAATTTTCCTTTTAGAAAATATTGAGCGCAGACTTCAACAAACTATATTTCCACCAAAGATGTATCCACGACTGACTAATGACAGAAAAATGTTGCTTGTTCTAGGCTGCGCTCTATGTTTCCTATTGGAAAAACATATAGAAAAATTCACATTTTTGTCCTTATTTGATTAGATTGCAAAAATAGTATGAATTATGGCGTCATTTACAGGCAGTGAATGCATATAAATGAGACAAATATATTGAAAATATCTCTAATATAAACTCTTTTACAAAATAAAACAACAATTTAAGATATCTTAATCGCTTTTAAAAATGTTGATTTATGGGGTCCAAAATTGACTCTTATATAAATATTGCCTGTAGTTGAGTGTAACATTGAAAATTTTCACCCCAAGAAAACCATTGTCAACCGAGGCGCAGCCGAGGTTGACAATGGTTTTCGAAGGGTAAAATTTTCAATACACTCAACTACATGCAATATTTATTATATTATACTGAATGTTTTATACAAATGCATATAACAGTGAACCTTGCGCGCATAAATTCTGCGCAGTCACTATTTTTTGGATATCACCCGTCGTCAAGCAATGTTGACTGTTGCTACGCTGGAGGGCGTGGCTTCATCATTCAGCGGGTAATAATGTTTTTAACAAACGTTTCTCGACGAATCAGATTCAACTAATTTACATGAAAGTATAAAGTAAGCAGTTATCCTATTCTGATGGAAAATATAATCTCTTTCAATAGTGCTCTACAAAGGACTATTATGTGTGATAATATTATTTTTGCTTATTTGGGAGGAGGGACTCTGTAAACAACGAACACAGGCACTATGCGTAGACGTATATACTATAACAATAACATGGATTTTTCTTTTATTCATAAGGAAAATGTTTACGTCTTGATAATTTTACCAAGACAAGACCCCACTTTCAGCCAGATTTTAGATGGTGTTAAAAATTGAATCATATATATATATATATATATATATATATATATATATATATATATATATATATATATATATATATATATATATATATATATATATATATATATGTACCTTAAATTGTACGATCTTTATTTAGATATTGTGTATTGCACACACATGAATCCAAGAGTCTTTTCCAGGAGAAGGGACCCATTTCCGCTCGCTTGAAAAGGGGGGGGGGGTCGAACACAATTTATGTACGTGCGAATTTAATTTCCAAAAAATTGTCCCTAGGGTCTAAGGAGGGGTAAATTTTCCTGGAGTGGGGTTTAGAGTCACTTTCAGCCTATAGTGTGTAATTTCATAACTTAAGGGATGGGAGTACATGGCTCGACATACAAAAGACACATGTATACAAAATAAAATTGTGTATACAATTTAATCAGTTCATTTCAAAGTTCGATTTTAAACAGACAACGTAAATTAATATCTGTACAAATTCAATGTCCTTTCTCAGTAAAAACTTTTATATATATTCGATGCAGGGTCACGTTTTACAAATGAACTTAATTACGACTAAGACCAAAACCTACTTTTGCAATTACATTAATTCTTTAGACTTAATGTACGTAAGAAGAAGTCAGTTATGTAGTTATTTAATTATTTAATTATATATATAAATAACTTATAAATTATATTTTTTATACAATGTATTCATAAATCATTTTTTATTAAAACATGTCAAAAGTCTATCTGACTTCTCTTGACATGTTTTATTAGATATTTATATCATGCATTTATTAACAGCAAATCATGTTTTAAACTCGAAAACATCTTATTTGCAAATGAAACGATTTTAACATTTTCTTCGAACCCCTCCCCCCCCCAAAAAAAAAAAAATTCATATAGCATTTATCTATAATATCGATCTTTCCATGCTGAAACCATATTTAAAAAGAAATGTCTACAAGATCCATTAAAATTTTCACGGTGTAGCATTCCACCTTTAATTATCATTTTAGGGCTCAAGACAAACTAAAACATTTTGAACCCTTATGTTTCAAAATATTTGGATGTTTTCGCAAACCTGGTAAAATGTCACACAACGTTTTAGATCTAAATATGTTTACAATTTAACTGTCCATATGACACTGACATTCCAAATCATATTCTAAAAATGAAAATGATCATTTAGACCTACAAAATATAACCAATTTAAGGGCCTATAGACTATTTGCATGTAACTATCCATTTTTCTGACTGGAATGAAAAAAAAAATGATGACATCAAGAAATCGAATTTTTTAAATTTATATAAAATTGCTAAATTATAGAACATTCTAACAATGGACATTTATGCTGCAGGGGAAAAACCTAAATCCACCTAACCCAAAACGTGGCACTTCGTATGGATTCGAAAAATGTTGTTCATAATATTATACTAAAAGTTTGGGGTATATACTCTTGATATATATTTCCTCCTGTATTGAAAACCATAATAAAGGACCATTATAGATGGATTTGCGCAAAGAGGTCACGTTAGCAAAGCACTATATTTTCTATATAAACACGGCGGAGTTATTGTTTATGTGAGTGAGGCGGCTGCAGGTTCTTCGATCGCAGACATGAACCTTCTTTGGGAATCAGTTTCTAAAACTTTGGTATATTTCGGCCTCCTTACAAGTCATATTTGTGGACGTAAGTTTTTGATGATTATCAATCAATCTAAACAATTAGTTAAACAACAGAGTTATTTTTTAAATGTGTATTTGTCCAGCCAGAGATCTGCATCAAATTTTTTTTTGCAGTTGGTTCTGAAAATGGCGGTGTTGCTGCAGCAGGCAATTCAAGAATGCCGATGTCAAATCTGGGTGCAAAATTGAACGTTTTCGGTGTTTTTTCAAAAGACAATATTTTAGAGAAGAGTGATTCGATTTGGATGAAGTATAAAACCCAGAGCGAAGAATCGAAGTTGATGCAGCTTTTAGTCCCAAGGGATGGAATCAATGACTTCACACACTTGAAGTTGAATACGGTTGCCAAAGTGGGACGGAAAAAGCGTTCTTATCAGTCTTTTCCGTCGCAGAGATATTATCCACCAATACCACCTGAAAACATTCTAGTTGTTGTAAGTACTTTAAACTATCACTGGATTTATTAAATAAATAATTTTACTCTCAGGACACTTTGATGTCCAAAAGCTAAAATACAAAGCATTATAGCAATAGCAAATCCCTATCTGGTTATGTCAGGGAATTAAAAGTGGGAGAATACTGGAGTGTTCGGACCCTTTTCTCTAGGGTGTAATTGGGATTTACTCTGAAAATTCCATCAAATGTTAAAATTTTAAACAAAATCAAGAAATTCAGAGAGCTTTTAAAGGTTCGAGTAAAGGCAAATTTTTGTTTGTAGAAACAGTTTTACAATGGCTAAATTTTGTTCATGTCCATAATTCTTGTGGCTTAGAGTTTTACCACTGCAAACCATAGTTATGAACATGATGAAGTTGACAAAAAATGTTTAACAGTTTTTCCAAGTAAGATAAAAACTGTTAAGTGAAACATTCTTTGTCAGCTTCATAACACAAATTAACGTATTAAATTGCACTTTGCAATAGCTGAATTTTTCAACAACAAAAAAAATCAAGCTCTTTAATATAAATGAGTATTCAGTGGCCAAATGATATGCAAATTATTTATTCAATTTCTTAAGTATTTATTTCAGTTGAGCAAAATTTGTTTGTTGTTGTTATGGTCATTGTCATAACTTTTCACAATTTCAACCACTATGCCAATTTCAACCAAACTTGGCACAGAGTATCCTTAGGTGAAGAGGATTCAAGTTTGTTCAAATGAATGGCCACTCTCTTTCAAGGGAAGATAATTTATAAGAATTAATGAAAATTTAATGGCATCTTTCAAAAATGTTCTTCTCAAGAACCAGTGGGCCAGAAAAGATGAAACTTACATGAAAGTTTCATTACATAGTGAATATTTAAGATTTAAGTTTGTTCAATTCATGACCCCAGGTAGGATGGGTAGGTTTGGGGCCACAATGGCCAATCACAGTTTTACATTGGAATATACAGCAAACTTATAGCGAACATGCTTAATAACGAATTGACACTTAAAGCGAAGTGGTTTTCATTCCCCATGGCTTTAAAACATATTGTGAACTTCATGGAAATAACGAATTACGTTTATAACAAAGCAAAATTCCTGCCCCTGGCACTTGTTATAAGCGTGTTTTACTGTGTAGGAAAAAATCTTCTTCTCAAGAACAGCAAATCCATGATTAGCCATATTTATGTGAAAGCATGATCAGGTGGTGTAGATTCAATTTTGTTCAAAGCTTTACATGAGAATATACTGTTGAACTTCGGTATCTTGAACTTATTAAGAACAGCAAAGCCATGATTAGTCATGTTGATAAGGTAGCATCTCCTCAGGCTGTGTAGATTAAAGGTTGTTCAAATAATGATCGGGAAAAGGGTGGCAGGGTTCAACACTAACATTTGTAGGCTTTAGTCCAGCCTGACTAGTGCTTCTTTACTTTTACTAGTCCCCACACAATTTTATGAGTCTGTCAAAAAAGAAACATCATGGTTTTACTTTTGATTAATTTAAAAATAAACATTACAATGTACATTTTATACTTTTTGGAAATGAACAAAGCATTTACGTGAAGTGTTTTATTCCACAGATTCATTGAAATCTTGTGATTAGGAAGTACGATCGTATTCCCGATCTTATTCTTTTTTTCTCTATACATTACATCCAAAACAGCCGACATCTTTCTTTATGTGTCATACTAAATCATGATCGCTGTATATCGAATGTTTAATTTCATATCAATCAGTTCTAAAATTAAGCGTCAAATTGACTGGGAATTACCTAACTACCTGCCAAGAAGCTAGAAGATAAAAATACCTGCAGGGTTTTCCAGTAAAAGTTGTCGAGAATCGGACATCTGTAATTTATTCATTTTGTTTTCCAGAAATTTTTATTGGTCTGTTTGGACTAATTAGCCACATATTTTGTTAGTCCGAATGAAAATGTTTTAGTCTAAGACTAATGGACTAACGTTAGTGTCGAATCCGGGGGGGGGGGGGGGGGGGGGGGGGCTCAAAATGGGGGATCAATTAAAGTTTTACAGAGGTCTGGAATATATTTGAAAAAAATCTTTTAACATCTTCTTCCGTCTTAAGAACAACAAAGCGATGAGTAGTCATATTGATATATGGAAACATCCTCAGGTAGTTTGTTCAAATCATTACCCCAGGGGTAGGTTGGGGCCACAATGGGGAATCAAAGTTGTACTTAGGAGTATATAGGAAAAAATCTTTAAAATCTTCTTCTCAAGAACAGCAAAGCCATGATAAGTCATATTTACATGAAAGCATGATCCTCAGGTAATGTAGATTTATTAGTTTGTTCAGACTATGGACCCCCCCCCCCCCCCATTCCCTGTCAGAGGTAAATTAGAGCCACAATAGGCATTCAAAGTTTTACAGTAGAATATAGGAAAAGATCCTTCTTCTCAAGAACAGCAAAGCCATTAGTCATATTAATATGGAAGTATCCTAAGGTAGGGAAGATTCAGATTTGTTCAAAATGTGGCCTCCAGGGCTGGGGAGGTGTCACAATAGGAGATCACAGTTTTACAAAGGAATATCTGCTGATGAAGAACAGCAGGGCCATAGTGACTCAGGTGAATACTGTGGCCCATGGGCTTCTTGTCTTGTAAACTGACACCAGTTCCTTTAGCGTTGATTAGTTTAGAGCTAGATTCATGGAACAGAAGAGAAATGTTCAATATTGGACACACAAAATGAGGTACTACACTGAATTATTTTGCTTGTAATTGGCAGTCTATCACTTCCAGACATTTACCATAGATAAAGATGCTATAATAATGGTTACATTATCAGGGCATGGATTATAGCAGCTTTTAAATTAGAGTGACATTTGACAACATTTGATTGAATTGAGACATCTAACTTGAGGTTAGAAAAAATGTAAATACATGTATGCATTGTAAATGATTTACAGCTTGGTGGTGTGAATTCCAGGATCTTTGGAAAAACTCCAAATGTTTGTTTTGTATAAACATGATAAATATTACACCAACTAATTTTTATGTGCACACATGTATTGACACTTGTATAAACAAATTTTAAGTTACTGTAATATGTCTCATCAAGCATTGCACATAAACATGATAAAGGAGAGGTTTTCATAATGCTGTTTCTTCAGCCATTATTTTGCAAAAAGTGAAGTACGTTCAATATATTATTTAAAGTATTCTGCTTAGTTTAGAAAAACAAACAACATTCTTGTTTATTGTTGATTTCATTTGCAATGGAAATAATTATTTTCATTGGTTAAACATGACGTCACACAATAGAGGCTTGATTATTCAAGATTACGATAGTGTATGTGATCAAGCACTTTATGTGATCGGGTAGGAGAGTGCTTATATGATCTTAAATTCACTGTCAAGGAATTTTTGTTACATCACTCAAAGCTTTGTGTCCAATATTTCAGACTTAAGATATCACTCTAAAAATTGTTGCAAATTGAAGATTGGTATCTGGACCAAGTCACCTAGGAAGGCCGAGATAGTTGCACTTGAAACAATTAAAATACAATTAAAATTTAATTCATTAATATTGAGTGATGTAACGGAGACACTTCAAGTTTAATTCAAATTAATTAATTACAACTGAATTATATCTTACTTGTGACACTCATTTTTGCCCCTTTATAAACAAAATTTCTGTCCATTGTTCTCATTTACACTCAAATCTAAAGACTAATACATAAAAAGATCACCTTCTGTTTCAGACGTAACAGGACACAAACTTCAGCACACAGAAAAGAAAATTTCCTCCAAAATTAAAATTAATTGAACAAATTTTTTATTAAAGGATTTGCACTTACATTTGGGCATTTTTTGGCCAAGTTTGCATAATCATATGGCAAAAGAAGAAAATTATATGCCTCATTTTAACATATAGAGATGTAACACTGGACACTGAAGCCTTCCAACAAACTTTTTTTTTAAATTTACTTAATTGTTAAGTTTTTAGCTTTGAATCAGATCACAGGAAACTTTAAGAAAATTTTAACTTAATAAATAAGTAAACAATTGGACAAATTTTCAGTTTTATTTAAATAATATACATTGTATTGTATATGCCCCTTTCTGCACAAATGTCATTTTATCTTCTGTCAAGAGATCAATCTTGATCTTTTCCAAGTTAAAGAGTCACAGAAGTGATCAGTGGCCATTCTATGACCTGAAAAGAAAAGAAAAAAAATGGTGAAAAGGTAATTTGACAACTGAAGGATATTAAGATCTATACTCGTACTTTGATAGTGATGTAACACTGATCTCATGATATTTTCACAAATTTAACTTGGACACAAAAACTGGTGTCCTATGTTACATCATGTAATGAAGTTAAAGAATGACAGAACAATGTATAATACATACTATTTCACTCAAGTTTATTGTGTGTTTTGCACTTCTTAAAACACCAATTAGGTATTTTTGTCAGAAGCCAATCAACAAAAAAATATGCACATTCATAAATAGTGATGTAACAATGACACATTCTGTTGTGGCTTAATAATCTTGTCAAAGTTACATCTTTAATAAATTTTCATATATTTTCTAAAATTTTCTCTAAAATAGAGTTTACAATGGTTATTACTTGATACAATTAAATTAAGCTCAATCAGTTGAAATTTAATCACATGTAAATTAACATTTTTGAATTAAAAGATTTAGGTAATACTTGATTGGGGGGCGTGATGTAACTGTGGACACAATCAGTCCAACCATAGTGTGAAAATAAATAAGCATAATTCTTATATTAATGTAGCATAGTTCAATATTTACAGTTTATTAGAAAATTAATTCTTATTTCTTTGCAAACACGCAAATCTGGCATTATATATGTTTCAAAATACATCCTTAAATCGCCGAAAAAGATGAGGTCCCCAAAAAATGAGAGACGTAACATGTAAATGACCTACCTACTACTCGCGTCTCCTGTCATCTTTTTCTTGGAACTGATCCAACTCGTGCACGGATCTCACCAAAAATGAAAGTAGAGACCAGAAAATGTCATACAAACAGGATGTCGTCCTCTGGTCACCCGAGTATTTGATGTATGACACGTGTATACAGACGTAACGTTTTGACACGAAAATACAGATAAAATTATGATGATTATTTTTGAAATAATACTTTCACATTTGAACACAGCCATAGTTCGTAAATCTTTTACGACGTCTCTAATTGCTATAAATAGAACATATCGATCGAAGTTTCCTTCGATTGTATCTGAAAGCGGCTGTGCGCGAGACGTAACAAAATTGACACGAAATGTTACATCCCCAAGCATAAAATTTAACCATTGTTTAATTTTAAAAATATTCAATATTTTTTTGACAAACCCAGTAAATTTAATAAATAAATTTGTATATAATAAACGAATCAAGAAAATTAGGTGGAATGATTTTATTTACTGCTGCTATTCCTTCATTTCTTCGGACCATATGAAAAAATGTCACAGAGATTGTCCACTGAATTGCATCAAAAACAATCATTACAAGTTTGATTATTCGCTTGACAATCATTAAAACATCATTAGTTATTAAATATGAGCATCAGAAAATTATTAAATAAGTTTATTCATCAAAGTTGTGAAAGAAAAAGAAATAAATGGCATTTTAGATAGACGTAACGAAAATTCCTTGACAGCGAATTTAGGATCATATATGCAGACTCTGGACCATGGCTTGAGACGATGCAGTGACAGGTGCTTGTGATTTCCAAAGTCATTTTCAAGGAACACTTGTCTTCACTGTCTGAATAACCAGTTCAGAGGGCCTGGGTTCCAATTAGGGGTGTAACGATACAGCTTAAGCATATTGTGGTATGTCATGATACATTGGGACTGTATCAAGATATATATATCGCTATATTTCACCTTTCATAATATTCTATATAATTTGTGTGTCTCTGTTTTGAAAGGAGAAATTCTCTTTCACAATGTGAAAGGATACAAGGTGTATTTCTTCAGTTCACAACTGCATTATGTATCATTTAATATTTAGCTCTGAATTTTTGTGTATATTGTGGTATATATACCGATATATTGTTACAACCCTAGTTCCAATCCTGGTGTTGTTCCTTACATTGTTCCCCCTTGGAAAAAAACACATATTCATTCACAAGGAATGTATGCTATTCAAACATTTATTTTTCTAGAGAGGAAAGAGCACAAAAAGAAAGATGCTTCTAATGTCTCGATGGTATTGATCAGTCTTAATTAAATTTTGTAGCATTGATGATTGCTTCCACATTGAAACAAAAATATTTAGCCAGATACAAAATCAATGGTTTAATTTGTCGTCGGTGGTAGAAATTGGTTGTGTTGGAGGGATTGCAATGCCAAGGAGAGATGTGAATATACAAGCCGCTAATCTAAAAGATGAATCCAGGCTGACATTTGATTTAAACTAACATTGATTCTATTTAAGTTCTAAGAGAAAGTCATAAGCATTGGATGAAAGTTTTTAGTTCACGTCAACAAAGTTGGGGGGAGTTTAAGTAATACCCTGCTGTCCCAGGTTAAAGTCTTTGAAGCAGATTTCTTTTCAAGTACTTCTATGCCCTATATTAATCAGAGATGCATAGAAGATGCTTCTAGTATGTTTCATTGTACCAGTCAAGGTTTTAGATGCTGCAATTACAGCTAAAGAATGAAGGTTATTTTTTTTTGGAGCTGGTTAAAGTTTTTGGAGCAGGTCTCATTTCCAAGTAACTATAAATAAGCCTTTTTTTGTCCAAACTTGCATGAATGATACATCTAAGGATGCACACTAGACGACTTGCTTCGGATGCTGGATCTGACCTACATTTTCCCCGTGTGTGACTAGGTTCATTCTAAAAAACATGTAACTATTTTTAAAGTAACTAAAAGCCCTAATGTTGACCAACTTTGCATTGAAGATACATTTATCGATGCACACTTCCAGAGTTGCTTTGGATGCAGGATTTGACCTACACTTTCCAGATGAGTGAACAGCTAAGTTAAGTTTTTGAAGCAGGTCCATGACCAAGAAACTATAAGGCCTATCAGAACCAAACTTGCATGGACGATGCGTCAAGGGATGTACACGTACACTACCAGAGTTATGCTTCAGATGCTGGATTTGACCTACATTTTTCAGATGAGTCAACAGGTTAATGTTTTTAGAGCAGGTCCATTACCAAGAAACTATAAGGCCTACCTGAACCAAACTTGCATGGATGCAGCATCAAGGAATTAACACTCTCAACCTTGCTTCAGATGCTGGATTTGACTTACATTTTCTGGATGAGTAACTAGTTTAAAGTTTTTTGATAAGTCCATTCCCAAGTAACTGCACACCCTATCAGACCAAAATCGCCAAAATGTTGTCTTTATGGATGCACACTACTAGATAATTAGTTTAATGTGAGAGTTTGCCTTACTTATTAAGATATATCATTCATTGACGTGAGCTCTGTAATCTCTGATTACCTATGTTTGGTTCATGGAAACTGTTGATTGTAATATTTTTATAATGACTGTCTTATAAATCTTACTTTTCATTTTGTTAGAGGTGAATCAATATGTATTACGAGGTTTCTATCAATATTTGAAGCATGTTAAAGAAGATTAATTTTAAAGACTATCAACTTGAAAGTTAGATTACAATTATGTTGAGGAAAAAATGGTACACTGTACTACTAAGAACATTCTAATTGCAAGACAGAATGTTTTTTTCTTCTTGTTCGTTTGGACAAGTGACTATGAAATTTAATGTCTGAACATGATTTTTAGGTGTTGAAAATTTTCAATAAAGAACTAATTCTTCTTTATTGCCCTTGTCCTCTTTTGTTTCACCTTTCTTAACCTGATACTGAAAAGACAAACTTTGTCAAATCAGGTTTCATTTTTTTACTACACTGGAATCAAACCTTTTTTTGCAGCAATGTCCAAGTCTCTTACAATGTAAACAATTAACATATAAATACAGTGTAACATTTTTTCCTTAACATAATTGTAATCTAACTTTCAAGTTGATATTCTTTAAAATTAATCTTCTTTAGCATGCTTCAAATATTGATAGAAACCTCTTAACACATATTTTTTCACCACTAAGAAAATGAAATTAAATTAAAAGTGAAGCCCAAATAGTGAAATTTGGGCTGCATTTCATTTCTGGAATTTTTAAACATTTCCGACATTTTGCTGTTTTCATTTCTGACATTTTAAAGTTTTCATCTCGGACATTTATCATATAGTAAGTACTTTTTTGGCATTGAAAAAAAGAATTGATACTTCTGTTATAAAATTCCTTAAAGTAAAAATTAAGAATAAATCATTGATATTCAAATAATTGGTTTTGCTTGGCTTTCAAAGAAACTAAGAAAGATTTTACCCTGGAGCACATGTAAATATTGTGCACTTTTGCTGAACTCCTTTACTTTTAACTAAACTTAGTTCTTCATCTTTATAGAGTGAAACATTACAAAAATGTGATTTGAAATAAATGTAATATTATCATGTATATCCTGTTAAAATTCTATTTCCACCTTTGTTATTGGTTATTGTTAAATTGCCAGAAAGGTATCCTCCAAAAATTCCGGAAAATTTAAAGTAAAACAATTAATGTCGGAAATTAAATTAAAAATGTCGGAAATGAAAACAAAAATTGTCGGAAATGCAATGCAAAATTCTGGATATGAAATGCAGCGGAACTTTGATCTTGGGATCCAAGTTCATTATAATGAATGGAATGTAACTGTTTAAATGCACTATTTTAGATTTAATGTTGACAATATTCATTTTCAACTTATTTTAAAATAGTCTTTGAGTCTTTGTCACAAAAAATCTCGTGTTCAATAAGTGGACAACTGCCCAACTGTATTCACTTGTCCATGAAAATTTTCACTGGTACCAGACAAGCCAACAAACATTAATGTTGAAATTTTGCATCTTAATATTTACAAATTTTCTGGATTGGGGTGCTTTGGTTTTGTCCCTCTCCAGGGAGCCTCCCTCTCTCCCCCAACATAAGGAGCCAGACTCTTCTTGAGTAATGTCCCCATTTTCACTTTGCAGATTGGTCTGGTGAAATGAAATGGCTAAAACAATTTTTCAACCACTAGTATTGTGGATCATCCAGTAGAAAATGATGGTCCTGAGTAATTTTAATTCTAACATTCTGTTGCCACTCACTTTAGGAAGCTAAGCTGAATTCATTTATGATCTTAGAGGGGTTTAACAGTGATATTCATTTAGAATTCAACTACATGAACAATACTCTAGATCACTATATTTTCTCGACACCTTATTTTCATGAGATAGCAGTATTTGGTATTTATAAGCGAGACAAAAATATTTTGTGAGCTGTGGTTTCTGTTCCATATAATCCTTAACAATACAAATATATACGTGAGAACAAAATTTTCGGGAGCAGACAGATTCACGTAATAATGTGGAAATAAAGTTCTCGTGAATAAAAAGAGATTTACAGTATTGCACAGTTCCTAGATTCAGCTAGTATTATTCTCAGAAGTTCAGTCTACTTTTTATGAAGAACTTATTGTGAAATACATAAATATATATGTAATATCTATACCAGAAGAAATTAAAGGGAACCACGATGAAGGATTTCATTAGTGCCTGGTATATTTCTCAAGAAGTAATTTTTAGTCAGGAAGAGTAGTGTGACTCAGGTAAGCTTTGTGGCCTTTGGGCCTCTTGAATTATGATAGGAATCTGCATATATTTGAATTTTTGTCTTTTTTGTAGTGCATGGGTGCTCCTCTTCAGTACCTCAATAAAACTGCTTTGAAGGAAGCATTTGCCAGCTATTTGAAATTGCCTGTGGAAAATGTCTGCATAGATAAAATATTGGTAATTTTCTTTAGTGGCAACCTTGTTCTTAGCTGTTATTAATAGAATGTTTTGTTCTGTAAAGCAGAATATTAGATTCATGTAATCATGTGTTTGCTGTGAAATCATAATCGTGACCAGAGATAACCCAAATATCTAATAAATATACAGAATCTCGTTCATAAAGTTGTTTTTCTGAAATACTGATTTAATATAAATAGCATCATTATGTAAAAAAATAGTCTGTTTGTATGAAAATCATCATTATCATTTTCCATATTAGATTCTATTTATGTATGTAAGTATCACTATCCTTATTTTTGAAATGATATATGTAGATTTGCTTCAGTACTGTGATTAAGTCCACCTCCATGATATTCTGTGTGATATATTAAGTGCGTTATTTTGTAGATTCGGAAGAACATGGTAGAGCTGTACTTTGTAAAGAGGGGTCATCCTGTGGATTTCTTTGATGTGGATAAGGACTTGATTCCAGTCAGTGATATCAAACACCCAGATCTGTTGGAATACCTGCAGAAAAGAATCCCAGCTATGAACATTACTATTGAAACAAGCCAGGTTAGAAGTAGCTTATGTCTTATCTTCACACTGTTTTTACAAGATAATGTCAGGATGAACATGATGAAGGGAGCATAATTTCAGAAAATTGGTGAATTATTAGTTGTTATCTGCTTTTTTTGCCAGTTTCATAATCTTATAACAGGTGCTTGTAACTACCAGGTATTTTCTTGGAGCGATGAGTTTCTTGGTAAAAATATGTTTTGTAAATTTACTTCATTTTATGATTTAATTATTATGGATCAATTCTTAGTTTATAATGTGTCTATGAAAGGAATATCTAAATCTTTAATTGATGAGAAGCAATCATTTCAAGAGTTGAAATTGTTTTAAGTAATAGGAAGAATATTTAAAGATACAACAGAATGGAAAGCCAATCAAAGATATGAAATAGACATTGTGTGCAAGCAGGGATCACCCATTCACATACAGCTGTATGTTTAATATGTAAATATTTATATATGTGTCACCTTTGCAAAGGGTTGAAAACTTTGTTCTTACATTGTCTCTTAGTTTGTGAAGTCGTTTAGATAATTGCTTCCATTTCCATTCAACATTCTGTATATTGATCCAATCTTAGGGCATTCTCAAAATCCCTAAACATGTTAATACAATTGCAGAGTAGCTGGTAGGCCATCAATGTCCAAACTAATAGTGGTGTAAATTTGAAATCATTCAATTATCATGTTGTCCAGTGTGTAGTTGCCTATATTTGCATCAAGTGTCAAGTCTTGAAATATCTTTGAAACACTTGTCCTTTAATTTTCAACAGTGTACATCATTTCTTTGTAACTGCATTGAGGAAAGATGAATAGATACATCAATGGTTCTTTAATCTGTAAAATGTTATTATAATGCATAACTTGTCATTTTACCAAGTTGCAAATTTAGTAATGCCTTCCATAAAAAAAAATGAGTATTAAAGCTTAGTGGCTTAAAAATTCAGAGTTTTGAAAAAAGATGCTGGTACTTGCATAATCAATGATTTTCAAATTATGCCATTATGATAGTACTTACTGTTTCAAAATGCTTAAGAAAAAAAAAACTTCTTCAATTTTATTAATTATTAGAGTAGTTTTAAGACATTTATTTTCTTATATACAATGAATTGGTAACACTTCCGATTTTAAACTCTCTCTCATTTCTGAAAATATCTCTAGAGGTTGTTATTTTTGCTTGTGATATTTGAGGAGAAGCATAGATCACCATTCTTATGAATGTTTTATGTGCTGCAGAACCATCATCACAGAAGTCAAATGTGATACTTTATAGATAAATCTCTCCTGCTGTTGTGTATACTTCCTAGTAGTATATACAGGGATCAGTTGAGTCTCATTGCATCAACAAGAGTCATTTATTGTGGAGTTCATGTTATAAAGTCATATCTGCCTTCTATTTTTATGCCCCTGTAATCGAAGATTTAGAGGCATATAGTGTTTGGTCTTTCCATTTGTCCAGATGTATTTTTCTTCTTTCTATAAAACATTAACCTTGCCAAGAACTTTTGAGGAGTTCGTTATTTCACATACATGTATTTCACATGTTGTATTCCTTATGACAATACCTTTCTTTGGATACCAACATTTTGATCTTTTAACCTTGACCTTGGAGTTTGACCTACTTTTGAAAAACTGTAACCTTGTCCGTGACATCTGAATGGTTGGTGCTAGGGCTTTCATATTTCACATGTGTATTCCTTGTGAAAAGACCTTTCTTTGGGAACCAAAATTTGACCTCTTGATCTATGAGTTTGACTTATTTTTGAAAAAAAGCATAATGTTGGCCATATAAACTTTTGAATGGTTAGTGCTAGGGCTTTATATTCCTTGTGACAAGACCTTTCTTTGGATACCAAAATTTTTTACATCTTGACCTAGTTCTTGGAGTTTGACTTCCTTTTGAAAAACTTTAACCTTGTCTTTTACTTCTGAAAAGTTAGTGCTAGGACTTTCATATTTCATATTTTTTATGACAAAACCTTTCTTTGGATTCCAACATTTATGACCTTGACCTTGGAGTTTGACCTACTTTTGAAAAATCTAAACCTTGTTCATAACTTCTGAATGGTTGGTGCTAGGGCTTTTATATTTCACAGATGTATTCCTTATGACAAGACCTCTCTTTGGGTACCAAATTTTTTTTTACATCTGGACCTGGTCCTTGGAATTTGACTTCCTTTTGAAAAACTTTAACCTTGTCTGTAACTTCTGAATAGTTGGCGCTATGGCTTTCATGTTTCATATGTATTTTTAATGACGAGACCTTTCTTTGGGTTCCAACATTTTTTACCTTGACCTTGGAGATTAAACTACTTTTGAAAAACTTAAACCTTGTCCATAACTTCTGAATGGTTGGTGCTAGGGCTTTCTTATTTAAAATGTTTATTTTTTAAGACATGACCTTTCTTTGGGCTCCAACATCTTTGACTTTTGACCTTGGAGTTTGACCTAGGTTTTGTAAAACTTATACCTTATCCATATCTTCAGAATTGTTGGTGATAGGACTTTCATATGTCACGTGTTTATTCCTTGTGACAAGACCCCTCTTTGGGTACCAAAGTATCGACCTTGATCTTGGAGTTTGACCTACTTTTGAAAAAAAGACAACTTAACATTGGCTATAACTTTTGAATGGTTAGTGCTTTGGATTTCATTTTTCACATGTATATTTCTTGAGACAAGACCTTCCTTTAGGTACCAACAGTTTTGACCTTTTGACCTTGGAGATTGACCTAGGTTTTGAAAAACAACCTTGACCAAGAGGTGCCATACAAGGCCATCAGTATTTCACGAACACATGTTTTTCTCAGGAATTAGAAATTATTAGGTATAAACTGGACTTGATTTAAAGATTCAGATGAAGAAGAAGACACAGTGTCCTATAAATTTGATGTTTTAAAAAGGTTTTAAAATTTAAATATGAGTTGAATACGTAAATATGATAAATCAGGAAAAAATATGGCATAAAGGAGAATCATTCTGGAAATATGATGTCATTAATTTGTTACATTTCTAAGTTTTAAACAGAAAAGGTCTCAAAATGACTTGTTTAAAGAGTTAATATTTTCCTTAAGAAAATAGTGTCCACAACTGTTGCCTACTTAGATTTTAAGATAATCAGTATATGTTGTATAAAAATCTTTGAGAAATCACGTTTCTTAAAATCTTTGTGGGCAATGCATGTGGTCTATATTAATTTTCTGAAAGAAAATTCCACTGGCAATTGATGTCTTTTGCAACTTTTTATGGAAAATACTGGAAAATGCAGAAGTTCATAATGTCACAATTGGCATTTAGGAGGTCATCTTTGAGAAAACAATTTGTATGATTTTACTGCCTTGAATTTGAACAATTCAGAAAGCATGAGTGTTAATTTCTCACAACAATTTTTATATTTTAAATAAATACAGGGCCAGATTTGTATTGAAACTGTACATACCTTCTTCTTCAATAGGAGAAAATTATGCTAAATCAAGCTCAGTTAAGGTTCCAAAGAATTTATCTTATCAAAGTCTGTCTTTCTGAATGCATAATTTTTTTCAGTTAGTTTTGGTGCAAGCTCAGTAATTTGCCAACATTATTTTTTGTGGTTCAATATACAAGAAAAAAAGAAAGACAATATCTAACAAAAAATGCTGTACATGAGCTTTGCTAAATGTATTCCATTTCCTTGTGGAGTGTGGTAACAAAGTAAACATAGTAAATAATTTAGTGATCGCTGAGTTAACGTTAAAAGACTTCAACTTGTTGTATAAGATATCCTTTATAGTCTAAGCTTTCTCATATATATGTGCTTAAAAAAGGAATAAAGGCATGAATATCATGTCAAGAACATTAAAAGAACATTAAACAAAATACTTTATAATTTGTTGAAAGATGAACAAAGAGAGATGACCATTCAGCATATTGATTGTCAATATCAATGATATCAACTACTCGCTAGTTATTTCATGCCTCACACTGTAAAGGTCATGACACTCACGAAGGACTTCCTTTTTGTGGCAGTAGCACATTATGACAGTCACACATATTTACTTTTGAGTACTTGTAGTATTTTCATATGTACTGTGATGTTTTCAGCAACCATTGATAACTTCAGCCAAATTTTGGACGGAGAGCTACTTCCCCTACTTAGCAGCTGCGTGTAGTGTGTGTTTAGTCCTTGTCATGGCAGTTGTGGTATGTTTTACTTATTTACTATATAATAATATACAAGTGCGTTCTACTGTTCACTTTTGTAAAGTTCACAACATTGGGCTGAAATTTTATATTATAAAAGTATTTGTTCAGACCTATACTTGTTAATTTGTTTCTGTATAAACTTCCTTTGAATACATAAATCTCAGCTGAAACTTGGTAAGTATAATAAACAAGTATTAGGAAAATCGTGTCATTGAAAAAAAAAGTGGGTGGGAGTGGAGGAAGGAATTACTAAAGAACATCATAGTATTCATTGAATTCTCATTGGGTGAACAAATTAGGTTAAATATTCTATTTGTTTAAGTCCATAGTAGTGTTCAATTACTTGTAAATGTCTTGCATCCTTTCATATCAAAAACTAAAGGACAAACAGTGAATAGCCTACAGTATGACATCTGTATTTGTATTTTTCATGGTAGATTTTCTGTTGCTGCCGAAAAAAGAACAAAGATGAGCAGGTTGAAGAGAAGGAGGAATACTCTGAGCCCCAACAGGTGTTCTACCCCTCCCTGAAGCCCCAGCAGATCTTCTACCCCTCTATCAAGCCCGATGTCAAACACCCAGTGATGATACAGCCAGAAGGGAGTCCTGTGTTTGTTACCAAGGGATGTGTAGCTCCTATACAAACTCAAGCCAAGAAAATCAAAGCCAAAGGCCTCTTAGAACGGTAAATATGGACAAATGTTTTTTAGCTCACCTGAGCCAAAGGAAGGGGATTCAGATTTGTAATATTGGTATATTGGTATTTGTAACTGGTTACTCGGTTGGAAAAATTACGACCTACCAGATAAATAAATTTCTCCAATTGCCATCCTTAATTTTGATAAGTACACTCTTCACAGGTTTTAGACAGTCTAAGAAGGGTCATTTTGTTGTCCTTAACCCTAGATCCAATTGAATTAAACTATTAAAAACTATGAATTAAAAGTACATATTGTATTATACATCTACAATTCTTGTATATTTTTTTTTATACCTTACAAAAAAAGAAATAATTTAGTATATCTATAAGATAAGAAATCAGGCGATCAAAATTGATCACTTGTAAATAAAACAAGGATACTTCCAGCACTGTTCCAATCAAAATTTATTAATCATTTCTTTTTTTATTAAATCTGGAAAAAAATTATAATTCGAATCAAATATTCACATTCAAATATCAACTCAATGTGTGAATATTTGTTGACATCCTTAATGTACTTAAATGAAGACAAAAAACTACCTGGTATGCAAATTAGGTTTCGTACACCTCATAAAGATTTCTAATGATCTCAGGGTGACAGGGTGTATCATAAATATGACCAAAGGTCATTATAAAAGGGCAAGGATCATTGGAGTACAAGTACAGTCAAACCTCATTATCTCGATCCCGATTGAACAGAGAAATTTGAGGATTTGATATATCAAGGTTAGAATAGTAAAAGAAAAATGGTTGAGACTTTAAGCTCACCTCAGCATATCCATGGAATTTGAGATATCAAAGTTCACGATGACAAAGTTCAACTGTATTAACAAATTGGGAGAAAGAGAGAGTGATAGAGAGATAAAAAGAGAGAGAGAGAGAGATAGAGAGAGCATGTGCTTTGTAACTGAAAGGTAGAAGGTCAAACTTTACAAAAGAATGATCATGAAGAGAACCTTGTTCTGAGGCTGTTTCAATGACACTTAGATAAGTAATCTGAGGGAAAATTTTTAAGTTTTGGTTAAACCATACACATATGCCTTATGATTTGCTTGGTGGGTTAGAAAAAATTGTGATACGAAGCTCAGAGATGTCTATCAATTAAAGACTTTGTGAGTCTTTCTTCTTTTTCTTTACAGAGGTCAATGTAAAGCTGTGTGGGTTGGCAAATTAAATCCCTCTTTGCTTAAATAATGCATGTCAGTCATGTCAAAAAGCAACAAGAAATGTGTAGGGATTATCACTGAAAATATCAGGGACAGATGGCCTTTTTGCATGATAATCTCTCACTCTGTTTTGTATGTCACGTAGAAGAGGATCAAGTGCTTCACTAAAGATTGATCTGAAAGCTGCTTCCCCAGAGATGAATCGCTGGGAAGGAACTCCACCCAAAGAAGGGTAAAGTCTCCTCGCTTTTTTTTCCATGTCTACAAGAAAATGCTGAGAATTACATGTATATGCACATGAGGATTTCATGTATTGTTATTCCTTTTCCATTATTGTATAGTACTGGACTTGAGTTTTTACTCACTGCTGGGAATAGATTGAGTCGCAGAGATCTACGCAATGCTGTCAAAAATAGTAGGGCTCTTTATGAAGAATTTTGGGTATGTCTTCCTACACAGTACATGCTACATTATAGCAGTTGATTTCAAAGAAGATTTATTATGATTGAACATGAAAGATTAATGTTAAGTGCTTACCAGTATATAGCGATAGCCAATTTTTTTTCATGGATACTTAAAGGAAAATATTTTCATTTGTCACAGTAAGCATCTATATTTACAATAATCTATGAAGATATTGCACAGTGTACAATATACCGGTAGGTCATTTGCTTGCCTTTGCATGTTACTGAAAATTACCTTATAATGGGCCAACGTAATTGTAGGAAATTCCAATGAATCACCCAGAGAAGGTTTATGTCGCAGGATCAGGAATGAAGAACAGATATCGAACCATTATTCCAAGTAAATCCTATTATTTTATGTCTCTAGAAACAAAGATAACATGCTGTATTTTACCTTTTTTTATGTAATGCATGTAATTAAGATCCTGTTATTTTATTATTTTTGTTAACCTAGTTGGAGGCTGTATCTTTGACATATAATGAGATAATGATTCAATTTTTTCAATTTATGATAAATATTAGAGTCATATATCATCATGTATATTACTGTTTATCATATATACGTACTTAATACATATGTGAAGTAAATACACCAATTCTGCACTGTGCCATACGAGTTACATCACAATATGCTATATCAATGACGGGTCCGAAAACCCATATCATGTATTAGACCAGTGTGAATATGCAAAACAAATCTAAACAAGAGGCCCAGGGGCCACATCACTCACCTGAGCACTATGGCTAGGAAAAAGCAGAAATCAGTTCAGTCTTGAAAGGTTGAAAAGTTTAAATAAAAAAGTGGTTCGGGGGGGGGGGGGGGGGGGGGGTCATGAATTGAACAAATTTGAATCTACATTATATGAGGATGCTACCATATAAATATGACCAATCATGGCTTTGCTGTTCTTGAGAAGTAGATTTTTTAAAGATTTTTCCTTTATATTCCTATGTAAAACTTTGATCGCCCATTGTGGCCCCACCCGACCCCCGGGGGTCATGATTTGAACAAACTTGAATCTACACTATCTGAGGATGCTTCCATGTAAATATGACCAATCATGGCTTTGCTGTTCTTGAAAAGAAGATTTTTAGCTCACCTGAGCCGAAGGCTCAAGTGAGCTTTTCTGATCACATTTTGTCCGTCGTCCGTCTGTCTGTCTGTCTGTCCGTCCGTCTGTAAACTTTTCACATTTTTGACTTATTCTCTAGTACCACTGGGCCAATTTTGACCAAACTTGGTACAAAGCATCCTTGGGTAAAGGGGAATTTAAATTGTTAAAATGAAGGGCCAAGTCCCCTCACAAGGGGAGATAATCAAGAGAAGACAAAAATAGGGTGGGGTCATTAAAAAATCTTCTTCTCAAGAACCACAGGGCCAGTAAAGCTGAAACTTATATGGAAGCATCCTGGGGTAGTGTAGATTCTAAATTGTTCAAATCATGATCCCCGGGGGTAGGGCGGGGCCACAATGTGGAATCAATGTTTTATATAGAAATATATAGGAAAAATCTTTAAAAATCTTCTTCTCAAGAACCACTGGGCCAGAAAAACTGAAACTTATGTGGAAGCATCCTGGGGTAATGTAGATTTTAAATTGTTCAAATCATGGCCCCCGGGGGTAGGGCGGGCCCACAATAGGGAATCAAAGTTTTACATTGAAATATATAGGCAAAATCTTTGAAAATCTTCTTCTTAAGAACCACTGGGCCAGAAAAGCTGAAACTTATGTGGAAGCATCCTTGGGTAGTGAAGATTCTAAATTGTTCAAATCATAGCCCCTGGGGGTAGGGCGGGGCCACAATAGGGAATCAAAGTTTTACATTGAAATATATAGGAAAAATCTTTGAAAATCTTCTTCTCAAGAACCACTGGGCCAGAAAAGCTGAAACTTATGTGGAAGCATCCTTGGGTAGCGTAGATTCTAAATTGTTCAAATCATGGCCCCTGGGGGTAGGGCCGGGCCACAATAGGGAATCAAAGTTTTACATTGAAATATATAGGAAAAATCTTTGAAAATCTTCTTCTTAAGAACCACTGGGCCAGAAAAGCTGAAACTTATGTGGAAGCTTCCTTGGGTAGTGAAGATTCTTAATTGTTCAAATCATAGCCCCTGGGGGTAGGGCGGGGCCACAATAGGGAATCAAAGTTCTACATTGAAATATATAGGAAAAATCTTTGAAAATCTTCTTCTTAAGAACCACTGGGCCAGAAAAGCTGAAACTTATGTGGAAGCTTCCTTGGGTAGTGAAGATTCTAAATTGTTCAAATCATAGCCCCTGGGGGTAGGGCCGGGCCACAATAGGGAATCAAAGTTCTACATTGAAATATATAGGCAAAATCTTTGAAAATCTTCTTCTTAACAACCACTGGGCCAGAAAAGCTGAAACTTATGTGGAAGCATCCTTGGGTAGTGTGTTCAAATCATGGCCCCTGGGGGTAGGGCGGGGCCACAATAGGGAATCAAAGTTTTACAATGAAATATATAGGCAAAATCTTTGGAATTTTTTTTTTTAAGAACCACTGGGGCAGAAAAGCTGAAACTTATGTGGAAGCATCCTTGGGTAGTGAAGATTCTAAATTGTTCAAATCATAGCCCCTGGGGGTAGGGCGGGGCCACAATAGGGAATCAAAGTTCTACATTGAAATATATAGGCAAAATCTTTGAAAATCTTCTTCTTAAGAACCACTGGGCCAGAAAAGCTGAAACTTATGTGGAAGCATCCTTTGGTATTTTTGATTCTAAATTGTTCAAATCATAGCCCCCAGGGGTAGGGCGGGGCCGCAATAAATATTACAAAGGGGAGGTCTTGTGAAGAACAGCAGGGCAAAAGTAACTCAGGTGAGCGTTGTGGCCCATGGGCCTCTTGTTAAAGATTATTCCTATATATTCCTATGTAAAACTTTGATCGCCCATTTTGGCCCCACCCGACCCCCGGGGTCATGATTGGAACAAATTTGAATCTACACTATCTGAGGATGCTACCATATAAATATGACCAATCATGGCTTTGCTGTTCTTGAGAAGAAGATTTTTAAAGATTTTTCCTATATATTCCTTTGTAAAACTTTGATCGCCCATTGTGGCCCCACCCGACCCCCGGGGGTCATGATTTGAACAAACTTGAATCTACACTATCTGAGGATGCTTCCTTATAAATATGACCAATCATGGCTTTGCTGTTCTTGAGAAGAAGATTTTTAAAGATTTTTCCTATATATTCCTATGTAAAACTTTGATCGCCCATTGTGGCCCCATCCGACCCCCAGGGGTCATGATTTGAACAAACTTGAATCTACACTACCTGAGGATGCTTCCACATAAGTTTCATATTTTCAAGCACAGTGGTTCTTGAGAAGAAGATTTTTTAATGATGCCATTAATTTTTCACGAATTCCTAATTATCTCCCCTTGGAAGAAGGTGTGGCCCTTCATTTGAACAAACTTGAATCCCCTTTACCCAAGGATACTTTGTGGCAAGTTTGGTTGAAATTGGCCCAGTGGTTCTTGAGAAGAAGATGAAAATGTGAAACGTTTACAACAACAACGACAATGACAACAACGATGACAACGACGACAGACAACGGACAAATTTTGATCAGGAAAGCTCACTTGAGCCTTTGGCTCAGGTGAGCTAAAAAGTGGAAAAAGTTAATCATGTTAACTTCATTTTATTGAAATATAGATGTATAACAATTCATTTAATAAACATTTGTTGATTTAAATAATTTTTATAATGACCTACAAATTGCTCTTAGTTACTTTTAATGAATAAATTATGTGTATACAATAGACATTCTTTAAAGCTATATATGGCGTACCTGAGCTAAAAAATAAAAATACGAGATTAAGTGTAGATGAACATGATATTTGTTATTTACATTCAAATTAAAATGTTCAACGATTTCGAACTTGAATAACCCCACGTTTCTATAGTTAAATAGACTTATATGTGTCTTATATTTAAATGCGGAGTCCATAAATAAATCGGTTACTTTAAATTTCTAATATCTATGAAACGTGATAACTGATTGATTTAAATTGTGTAATTTACAGGAAAGTCCTATCTCTATATAAAGTAATAAAAGAAATAGAAAGTACTTTTTAATTTTAATTGGTCTGAACTTATCAAAAATACGCCATACATGACTTTATTGCCTTTGGATTTAAAGCCATTTCCAAGCTATTATATAACATTTTGATTACTTTCATTACAGTGCTAATAAAAAGTACAGATTTATGCTGCTGTGAAAATGGCAAAAATTAAACTGCAACAAATGCTGTGTGTTGATAAATAAAGTGCTTAAATTTTTTAGATGAGCACAGCAGAGTTATCCTTCCTGACAGTGAGTGGGATCCACTGTCCTCTTACATCAATGCCAACTACATCAGAGTAAGATAACTGTTATCATATCTTGGGATAATGTATAACATGCCTCAGATTAAACATTCAATTGATTGATATTGTTGATCTTGTTTACACCTTTTATTAGTCCTCTACCGGTGAAACCGGAGGGGACTATAGGTTTCCTCTGAGTCTGTCCGTCCGTCTGTCCGTCCGTCTGTCTGTCTGTCTGTCTGTCCGTCTGTCTGTCTGTCTGTCCCTCTGTCTGTCTGTCAGTCTGTCCCACTTGGTTTTCCGCACTTTTTTCCTAAACGCTTGCAGATTTTGAGCTGATTTTTGGTATGTGAGTGTATCTTGATGAGTTACAGATCAAGTTTGCAGTTCGTTCCGCTTCATTGATTTTTGACGGAATTACGGCCTTTTCAATTTTTACGGGTTTTCCGCAATTTTCTTCTAAACGCTTGTAGATATTTAGCTGATTTTTGGTATGTGGCTTTACCCTGATTAGTTATAGATCAAGTTTGCATTTCGTCCCGCTTCATTAATTTTTGACGGAATTATGGCATTTTCAATTTTTAACGGGAACTGAACCAGATTACACTTGCCGGTAGGGGACTAGTATTGCTAATGCAATACTCTCAGAATGCTTGTTTGATTGAGATATCATTACCCTGTTTGTCTATCCATTTTCTGATGAAAGTTTTCCTTTGAACTAAGAATTCAATAAGGCTTTTCAAAAACTTTAATTGTCCAATTCAAATACTGTGTAACAGGTATTTTCTGTGGTTGTCCTTTTTTGTGGATAGGTCGAATTTGCAGAAGTTACAATCGCAAAATATTTTTAAAGTTATAATTCTAATTTTCTGAGATGCTGAGATATAAAAATAAAATTTATTTTAAAAACAATTCCCAAACAATTAGTTAAATGGTATAGAAGTAAAATTTCTAACCACAGAAAATACCCGCTTTATGGTACATGCTGACAATGACAAGCAATGATAAGGATTTAATATGTTGAATCTTAAATAGCAGAGCTTGGTGTTTCAAAGTATTGTTATTTTTCATTATGTTTTATATGATGCCACTCCTTCAGTTGTTTTCTTGATTAATGATGTTTGGAATTTCACATACAACAAATGCATTCTTCAACTGTAGTACCGGTAATGTTTTGTCACGTTGACCACATCCTCATTAAGAGTTATGACTTTTCAAAAGTGGGTGTGATTTGTAAACTAGCAAAGGTTTATAAGAGTACTGATTGAAAGGACAGTTATTCACCCCTCACAACAAAGTTGTAGGATTGTATACTGGAATCACTGTCCATCTGTGTATCTAGCAGTGTGTCAATGCATGTGTATATCTGTAGGTACAAAAACAAAGCGCAGCATTTAGGTCACTATCTACCTTATATCGGGAGGTATGTTAACCAAACTTGCAGATGTAGCTGCATCCTAAAATAATGTGTGCTTTGATTGTGGCCTTGTTGGGACTATCAGTCCTGTTAAGACAACTCTAGTTCTATGTGATATGGTGCATCTTAAAAAAATTATTTGTTATGAACACGAAGTGATAGTATTTTAAAGTTTTGCACTTGGTCTAAATTAATAATGATGGAACTGAGTCTGTCAGTACTGTTATGTGATTCAATAGTTCAAGTTAATCAAATGACCTTCAAATACACTACAATTGGAGAGAATATTTTTGATAATTGATGGCAGTGAACTCTTTTACATGTATGTGATGCAATATTGGCAGTTCTTTTGAGCCTTTATATTCACTATATAGACACAGTAGAGACTTGAGGGTCAATTTAATGATAGGTCAGGGTCAGAAGGTCAAAATTATTGACAAGAGCACACTTTATTGCTTTGTAATTTTTTTTTTTTTGGAAATCTATTTTCAAAACACTTTATCTCTTGAAAAGCCAAGGTTACAGCATAAAATGTGTCTGTATTTAATCTGTTATTTGCGTCAAACTGGGAATTACAGAGGTATACATACATCTGTATTTATATGATAAATGACAGATGCACTAACACTGTAAAAACTCCTGGTTTAGCATTCATTGTGTGTGGGAGAGAATCAATAGAATGATGTGTGAAAATAATAAGTACATATTCCCATCATGCTGGGTCTCTGTGTGTGTTTACGGTATAAAATAGCTTCTTTTTGAGAAAATTATTTACATGTATTATTCTTTTCTGACAAAGAAATAACTTGGAGAAATTGCATAATTTGTTATAGGTAGAAAATTTTATAATTGATTCTTTCTGTGGCACTGTAGATGTATTATTTAGAATATTAAATTTCAGTTATTATAAAAGACAGATCAAGAATTGCACTGAAAAACTTATGCATTATCAGGGCTCTAATTGGCGACTAATTTAGTCGCCATGGTGCCTAAAAACTTTTCACAAGTCGCTAAATTGGCGACCATTTTAAATTGACTTGGCGATCGTCAAATTCCGGAAATTTTCACATTTTCAACATTTTTTCTGAAAAAAACGAAAAAGAAATTTTTTAAAAAGAGTAAATTATTTACATGACGTGTTTTCTTAGGCACATCATGGGTCCCTATATTCTATTATCTTTTAAAGTTGGCATCTTAGAAAAATTGCCTGGCGACTAAAAAGTTGCATTGGTGACTAAATTTTTTTGATAAGGTGCCAGCTGGCGCCTAAATTTTAGAAGCCACTTAGAGGCCTGATTATAAAATGGTACATATTAGCTTTTACCTACATATAGTATGCCATTTTTAATGGCTAGCATTTCTAACATTTGGTTGTGTTTGTCAGGGATATGAAGGAGAGGAGAAAGCCTACATAGCTACACAAGGACCAATGTCTCACACTATTGTAGACTTCTGGAGAATGGTGTGGATAGAAAAGTCACCCATCATTGTTATGATCACAAAACTCAAAGAAAAAGCCAAAGTATGTTCCACTATACATTGAAATGTTATATGATGGATAAAATATTGAAATGTGTCATACATGGATTAATAATTTTGAAGATTTAAAAATTAATGTAATGTTTACAGTTTATATTTTTAAAATTAAAGACAGAGATTGGAAATGTTGCTCTACAACTTAGCTGGCAGGGTGCTGTCAGTACCCATGGAGTTCAAGCATTGAGGAATATTAAAAATACAAATATGTTGTATCCATGCTTTGTTTACAGACAAAATGTGAGAACTACTTACCTGAAGACAATGAAACTTGGTGTGCTTTTGGAGATATTGAAGTGAAAGTAGACAGAGTCATCAATAAGCAGGGTTACACCCTTAGACACCTTTTGCTTAGGGTAAGGTGGAAAAAATAATTAAGTACATACATGTATATGTATAATGCAGGAAATTATTGCAGTATTTTGTTACAGAGTTGAATCCAGTTCTTATATTCGTCGGAGACTGATTTGATGATTTGACAGTTATCTCAAAAACAAAAGAAAAACAACAGATTCTTGATTAATGTAGGAAATAAATGTTCATTTTTGTAGAGCCAAGGAGAGGTACAACATGTTCTACACTACTGGTATACTGCTTGGCCTGACCACAAACCAACCCAGTCTCCTCACATGTTATTACAGTTAATTCAGGAGGTTGAGTTCAGACGGTATAGGGGGGATGGTAGCAGAGCCAGAGGTCCAGTTATTGTACATTGTAGGTAAGTCCTCCAGTGTCTACCTAGGTGAACAGTAACACAGTGAGAGATCCTCCCACTGTTTTAGCCATAGGTGGTAACCCCTCATAATCTACTTAGTTTGAAGTTGATGGCAGTAGGGCAGGATCAGGCCTTGTTTGTGCACTATACCGTAAGTGGGTTTTCCGCAACATACATTATTTGCTTGGGAGGATGAATTAGTTCTAAATTATATTGACTGTCATTATGCCGTAATACATGGATGCTCAGGGGTTGAAATTTTCTTGGAAAATTCACTTGCCCAGGGGCTACTGATAAGTAAAAAATTACTAGCCCAAACCTCAAAGTAACTAGCCCAACAATTTTTTATGCAAAACGAAAACGTAACAAGTTAAAGTTTCAAATGCTGTGGTGATCGACAGAAACAAATTAGACTGCAATGTAGTTCTCATTCAAAAGAAATCAGTCTACATAGAGAAGCAAAAGTAAACTGACAAGATTTTTTTTCCATTCTGCTAGTCCAACGGACTATCATTACATTTAAATTAGCTAGCCTGAGTCTTAAAATGACTAGCCCCGGGCGTCGGGCTACCGTATATTTCAACCCCTGATTCTTTGATAAAATAATCTTTATTTGAGGTCATTCAGACATTCAAGGTCATTGGCAGAAATATGTATTAATTCCTTTCAAGACCTGATCAGTGTATTCTCATGGAGAAAAATTGGAAGCTTATTTACAAGTATATACATCATTATTCTTCACACTAATATATGTATCATAATCTGAGAATGTGTGGCGAGGCTGACACAAGTCTGATCACTGCATGAAAAAATCTACATGTATGAAGTATAGGAGGGATATAATTTGGGAACTCCTTCATAGTATATCAAGTTTAAAGTGTAGTAATTTAGTGCTAGCATTGAAAAAAAATCTATAAAGTATAGGAAGATTATAATTTGGAAACTCCTTCACAGTATATATGTATCTAGTTGACAGTGTAGTTTATTTAATTTAGTGCTGGCATTGGGCGGACGGGCTGTTTTATCGCAATCAGCATTGGTATAAGACAACTGAGAGAGGAGCATTCTGTGGATGTGTTGGGTGTTGTGTGTAACTTGAGAAGTGACAGGTATCAGGTTTTTTCTTTTCCTAAACATTTGTTACCATTAATTACAATTAACCCTTATGATTTTAGTTATTTTATTTAGAAGGTGAATATTTTACTCTTCTAGTGTACAGTTAATGTGACTTCTGACTGTACATATTAATTATTTTTCATCTTTAATTTACACAGAGGTGGAATGATACAAACCCATGAACAATATGAATTCGTTCATCAGGCTCTGTGTGAGTATGAAAAGGACTTGGCTGAGCCAGTCTCCAATTGCCAACCAAATCAATGATGCTGATACCTGTGTTAATATTCATTGAACACTTTTGTCAAGAATCTCTTGGTCTAAGATGGGCCAATTCTGCCAATAAAGTCACAAGCAGGGAACACATCAGGAACAGGTTGGAAAACTTGCAGGAATGCCAGCTGACTGTTGCAAAACATCTAAATGATGTTTTAGTATATCCTGTGGTTGTCTGTTGAAGGTTGAATGTCAGGTTAACCATTAATATTGCTATGTATGAATATTGTTTTGTCATGTCTCCTGTTAGAAGGGAAATAATGTTTGTTCCGTTAAGTTTTTAATTCTGTATATTAAGAATGGGCATAGAAAACTACGCTGTAAAATTTATGTACCTGTGAAGGTTTCTGTTCTAACATGTTGATGAATTATATTGGTATATGATATATCATATCTGCTTTACTAGGCTCAGATGTTGTGCAATATCATTTGTAACAGAAATTTTATATCTATACATGAGAAATCTTGTTAATTGCAGATGCTGTGAATTTTTTATTTTTGTCATAATTCTCATATAGTACCATATAGGATGGATCAACCCATTTTTTTTTTATTTTAAAAAATTACAAGTCAAATCTTGAAATAGAAGATAGAGGTTAAGAAGTCTATTACACCTATACTAAAATTTTCTCAGAAATTGGTGAATTTGCTTCTGTTCAATATTATATTTGAATAATGATCTTAGTATTAAAATATACAAATATTTGGCCCTAAAATGTAGCAGGGCTAAATGATGGTCAAAATTCATCAGCATCAGGAATATATGAGTTTGGGGAGAGGAATTATTTTAAATTTAAATCCTGTGTAATACAAGTTATTAAAATGTGTAGCAATTAACCAAAGTTAATTATGTTAACCAATGACTTGGGGAGACAAATGGCAATCATGTTAAAATTATTAGTGTGTATTTTCAATTTTTTATTATTATTTTTTTAATGTTGATTATGATGATCATTAACTACAACAATTTTGAGAAGAATTTTTTTGTGTACATGTTTTCAGGACATTGAACACTGCTTTATATTCTCATTTTTTGTCATGATAATGGGAGTTTTGTTTGTGTTTATCTGACAAGTTCAGTTGGAGGTCTTTATGTTGGTGTATTTTCCCAGGAGCCATGTTGTTTTCTCTTCTTTTTTTTTAACTCAAAAAAATCTCTCTAGTCACATTTTTATCTGTTTTTATCAATGTCATACTCTCTATTAGACTTACTGTGTTCAGTTATGGTACATTCTTTTTTAGATGCAGTTTGTACTAGCATTATGTACATTTATCGATGTGTCATGTTTAGATATTTATTGTTGGTGCATGAGGCATAAATGGTGATCTTTAGTTTACGTATTATTCTCTTAACACCAAATTTTTCTTGATGACATAGATGCATTTAATTATAATCAATGACCCAAATGTTATTTTCTCTGGACTCACGTAAGTCAATCCTCATTATTTTTAACTTGATGGGATTGAAAAAAAACTTTGATACATTCAAGGATTTGAGATGTTGAGGTTAAAATACATTTTAAAGGAAAAGTGGTTCAGACTTCTAACTCACTTTGACATATCCATATTATTGAGATATTGATGTTCAAGGTACCGAAGTCCAACTGAAGTTTTTATCATAAAATTGTTTTAACTGTTCAATCTCTTTCTCATTTGACTTTGATGCTTGACCTAGAACTATTTTCACATTTTTTGTGGTAACACAGCTGTGTTACGATTTATTTTTTGTTTTGTTTACTTATGCATTCTTATTTGTATACAGTTAAAAATACCAGTATATGAGAAAGTGAATCTTAATGTTTTGAAATTTATCAGATTTCCATATTATGATAAACAAAATGGTCAGTTAAATTCCTCAAATTCAACTCTCCTTGTTTACCATATATTTACAGCTTTGTTTGTATATATTCCACACAACAAGGTTTCTTTTTTGTTCCCCAGTAGATATCATTGTTTCTTTTCTTTAAAGTAAAATTTACACCTTCAACAAGGATCACTTTGTCTTCATAATTTTTTTTGCAGACTTCCCACAAAAAAAAAAATGAGATGCATGCATCTTGTAGCACAAGGAAAATTATTCTATACAGTTCCTGCAGCTGAAATATTTTTGATCATATGCAACAGAAAATAAACAATTTAATGTTTGCAGATCTCATTATAAACCTACCTCACTATAAAAAATACAGCTTTTTCTTTTGAATTTATATCTAAGTAACTTGTTAAATTTGGTTGAGTACATTTTGTTTAAACTTGTATACATTTTTTATGGAAATCCATTTTATCTATTTCTTTCATTAGTAATGATCAAAATCTGTTAATGATTTTCATAGTGGCTGTCTCAAATTTAAGTATATTTATGGTACTAGAAAGAGTTCACATGTGATTTCATTTCTTTTCAAACTTTCCTAAGTACTTGTTGTGTGAAGTATTGAGAAATTTTCTGAAATTTTAAATGTGAATGATGGGTATTTTTTTGTATGAGGATGATGCATGTATGTACCATTCCATTCATCTGTGCATCATTATTTATACTATTAGCAGGGTGTGAATCTATGAGAGACCAAGGTCAAAATTTTTGTGTCACAACTACACTGGAGGTATAATATCTTTTTTATTTAATGTGCTCACTGTTGTCTTTTATATCATATACTGGTTATACATGCGTTTACATTCATATCACCACCGTTACTCTGTAGAATCATTGACGTCAGGGCCTCTATTTTATACAAAGCTCTCATAATGAGATGCAATCAAATTTTTTTTTCCGTTTCCATCTAATCACTCTTGCAGGTGTTTGTAATTTTATAGCTTGAGTAACAAGATGATTGCCAAAATCATGATAAAAAAATATTCCAAAAAGATTTTAAGTCAGTTTTCTATAAACTGTTGCAGTTTCTTATCAAGTTGAATAAAGTTATTTTCATTGAGTCATCTTAAAAACAAATACACTGTGCAGTAGAATACACTGTAGTTTATCATAGTGTTCTATCAGTTAGTGCACAAATGAAGAGAACATTTTATATTTTCGTCATGTTACTGTGTGTACCTTCAGCTTTATGACAGATTGAATGTGAAGGCTCATTAACTGTGATATCTTTGTGAGTAGAGTGATAGTTTTACTATTTGTTTGTTATAAACTTATGCCTTTGTGCAATAAATATCTCTTGTGTAAAGGTTTTGTTATGATGTAGAGGGGTACAGCTTAATTACCCGATTTCATAATGACCCGGCATTCAGATTAATTCTTTATCATATTCAAGAACTTCAAATTATTTCACGTGCTTTTTTTGCAAAGTCTTATAACTTTAATTACAAATAGTAACACTGTGACAATCTTAAGGTATGAAGAAGTCACTCTACCTGTCCAACTGTGCAATCATGTCTGGGCCTCAGGCTTGGGGTAATGCTAAATGTAATGGCAATGCATTACTTAAACTCAAAGTAATGCTAGGAATGAGTAATGCCAAAAAAATTGCATTACATGTAATGGTAATGTAATGCCTTACTTTCTCAAATCCAGAGTAATGCTGGCATTACAAAGCATTAATTTGTATATATACTTAATTTAAAAAAAAAGAATAAAAATGGGCATGGCAACTTTTGTTTAGATTAAATAATTTTTTTGGTATGAGATACACTAATGTACACTGCAAACAAACTGATAATTGCCACCTTTTGAATAGAGTGTCATCAAAACACACAATGACCCTAGGGTTAGGTAACAAAACCAAGTATTGTTTTGAGAAGCGCCTCCAAACCAGTCCCTTTCCCCTGTGTTTATGAAACATTTATTGAGCTGGTCTAGTTTGTGCTGACCATGACAAATTTATTGTACCAAAAGGAATAGAAGACAGACATTCTACTTTTAGCAGAGCAAAATGTACATTCTGTCCAACCCTTTTTACAAGTTTGTCTATGCATTAAATTTTTTTCATAAGGTACAAGATCCAAACGATCTATTTCCAATTAATTTAGATAGTTTTGGGGAGGGTTCAAAGTCCCCAAAAGTTAAACTGCTTTATGACATCAATATTTACACAAAAAGTGCATATTGTATATTTTTATCTTATTGGCAATTGAAAAGCTTGGACTTCCTATGATTAATTAAATAATATGTACATAACTTATTTACAGTTTTACAGTGATATAGAAACAAGTACATGTACTTGAAATCAAATTTGACCCCGTATATACTTGCCTATAAGTCGGTTAGCATTCATCAAGTTTAGTTTTGAACGGGTAGGATGAATGTTTATGAAAATAGTTGCAAATGTTTTGTATTTGTATTTTTGAAAAACGCCCAAAAGTAATGGTAATGGTAAGCATTACTTTACTAAAGTAATGGTAATGTAATGCATTATTTCAAGAAATAAGAGTAATGGTAATTTAATTTCTTGAAGTGCATTACTTTACAATGTAATTCGCCCTAAGCCTGCTGGGCCTTAACTTCGTATTGGAGGAACATTGGACATAACACTTGAAAAAACTACTTTGGTTCAAGGTTATTTGGACAAGCTGAAGATTATGGTTCAGGTTCACCTGAAATATATGTTGCATATTATATTACGCCGAAGAATTTTCCTTTGAAGTGACCAAAGGTTATTTTTTACAGGGGTACATAGTTACTAACCATTCTAGGGGAAACATATATTATTTTGTGACCTCATTCCCAGTATTTATTTGATAAGAATATACATTGTAGAGTCATAAATATATTAAAAGATGATAGAAAATTTCTTTAATCGCATAACATAATGAGTGATATCATAGGTTAGATCACAGATAAGTATTAAATGTAACAATGTAATACATTATATACTTAACAAATAAGTTAACAGTCACGAAAACAGTTTTACTTGTAACTTCTTTCCATTACTGTTTTACTGGGTCAAATATTTTTTTTTTTATAATGTTGTATGAATAATTGCACCATCTTTTAATATTTTGTATTGCCATAAAAAACCAGTGCCCATTTTGTTTTGTTTTGTATCATTGATAAATCTGAAAAACAGCCAGTTTTGCCTTGTGATTAGACTATCTTTGGCACATCAGGTTGTCAGCATGTTCTTGAAAGCCAAAATGACCAATTTTTTGGTGAATTCAGATAGGGCTGTAACCATAAAGTACATGTCATTTTCATGGCCATCCTCTAAAATGAATAAAAAGGAATAATGTTACATTTCAGAATTTTCAAGATTACTTAATTTGAATTAAAACTTGAATACATATTCAGATCTCAAAGTTCAAATCCAAACTGAAAGATAGGAATAAATCTTGATGAACTTATATATAAATGAAGGACTGAGTTTGTTCTAAGATGGTGAAACCTTTTAAGAAGTGTTAAAACATTTTCCTAATTCATAGGCAAGATTGCATCAACAATTAATAGAATAATTAACGTTTTCAAGTTTTATACAGAGAGTAAATGAAGTTGGGCCAACATAAAAAATGATTTGTCTGATGCTGATCATTATAATGAAATTAGCAGTTTGTCGTCTTCATGTCAAGGAGTAAAAAGAAAAAAAAAATAACTTCACTATGACTTAAATGTGACTGCATTAGTTTTGAAGGTTTTGGCCCCAACCTTCCAGTTCCAGGGAAAGAAAGCCTGAAATTCAAAGTTTTGTTCCACAGAGACACTCTGCAAAGGTACAGTGTACAGCTTGAAATTGGTTAGACAATTTCAATGAAAATGTGGAGAATTTTTAGAAAAGTTTCAATCATTATGCACAACAACAATAAAGCTCCTCATCATGTATGATGTATACCTTGATCAGAAAATTCATGTATATCCAAAATAAGTTCTCGAAACATATCCATCAAACTGTTGAAGTACTGAAGTCTGTCTTTTGGCTTATCCATGGCTCCAATGATGTTTTGTATCATACCAAGCACGTATGATAAACTGAAACTGTTCTTCACACAGACCTGTCCAAAAAGAATTAAAGAATTGAAGGAATTTCCTGAATTTTCTATATCTTGTTGTACAATGTATTACTTTTTCTTATGGAAGTCTTAGAGATGTTTTCTGAAGAAAAGTAAAACCTCACCACACAAAATGATGTAGTAATGCTGGAGAGTTCTATAGTTCTTCCATTGATGGCTTTGCTCATCAGCATTTTGGAAGTAATAACATCACCACAAAGGATCAGCATGTGTGCCACATTCTCTGCTAGCCATTCATCTGGAGAACCTATAAAATCAGGTAATTTTTGAACGAAAATGAATGATATGAACACTTGATTGTTTGACTAATTGGAGTAATTACTGTAAATGTATATAATTATAAATTTATTAGCACACTTAAAACGTTTCTCATCAACTGATAGCAGCAGCGAGCACAATAATATATTTGTGCATTTGTAACCCAGCTTTTTTATGCATTTGTTTTAATCTGTAAATTTTAAAAGTAGCAAACAAGAGACAGTGCAAAAAGCGCTAAGATATATTGCTGATAAAATGGGTATGTTTACAATTCGTGTATACAGATAAATATGAATAGTTCATGTTGGTCTTAATTCATTGTAAGCCTGCACCATTTACCACAGCACTCGATCTATGGGTAAAAGTCCTACATGTAAAGGAGAGAAGCAGATCATCACCCTTGGCTAGCAAAGATGGGGCACTGAGTGTTAAAATAATATTCAAATACTTAGGAAAGACACTGGGTGAAAGAATATCTAGACTGCTTTCTCTTGTTCTTTGGGCACTTCTCTGAGTCTTTATTTACAATTCATGCATTAAGATAAATAAGTAAAAGGATTACTATGAAAAAAATAATAAAATACTCCAGACATAGAATTACCATAGAATTAAGTGCTTGACCTTTGAGTCAGAAACTTAATTCAAAGTCCCTGTTGGCTCTTATATTAATTACTCAAGGATACTTTATGGGAGATATTTTCAATAAGACTGGGTGAAGGGGAGAGAATTCATACTTAAGACAAGTGATATAGTTGTAATGGTTTGGGCTGAGGATATTGGCCTGGGTATAGCTCAGTGATAAGAGCACCTGACTGGTGATGCAGGGGTCCCCAGGTTCAATTCCAGTGGTCCAACCATGCATATTCTCCTTTTCTGTTACAAAGTATTGACAGACAGATTGATCACTACAGGTCACAGAGCAAAGTAAGATCTGCAGCAACTCATTTGTCATCATTCTTACTTGTTAGTTCATCAAGGACACTGATGATGTCATCTTCTGACCATTCCTGACGGTAACCGTGGAGAATCTGTATAGCATTTGCCAACTCTCCAAAATGTTTGGCAGATTGTTCAGGATTGGCAGGTGTGTTCTCACAAAACTCAAACCACTGGATTTCTCCTGAAAAATTCAGGCGTACATAAATTATATGTTAGTTGATATAAATGCATGATATTACATGGATGTTGATCAAGAACTTCAAAAAGCTAAGAATGACAATTTGAGCCACAACATTTATCTGTCAAATACATTTATTGGTCTAAGAAATGGATTCATATATTTTATACCATTAAGTCCCCAAAAACCATGCTTTGAACAAAATTGAAATAATGTTAACAAGTTTTTATTATTAAAATGCATTTCCTTAATTAAATATGACAACTTTCATGCTGTTCTTGAAAGGAACAGATTTGTAAACTAGAAATATGTCCATAGGACATGAATGCCCTGCCGAGGGTATATTAGTAATGCAACATGAAAATTTGTATTAGTGTATGAAATTTGATGAGAATCTCTTGAATTGTTTTCTTTAAAATTGAAATCTAAAAAGTTGGATATAGATGATAAATTCTCGCCAAATTATGTGTAAGTGCATAAACTTACATAAATATATCTTAAATGGTTTCTTTAAAATTAAGCAAAATGCAAATCTAAGAAAAGTGAGGTCAAGGTCACAGGGAAGTTCAAGGTCAAATGTTTTTGATGCAGTTGAATACTTCTCACAACTACGTATCAGCATATTTAAGTTTGATAAAAATATTTTGAATGGTTTATTTAAAACTGAGCTAAACGCTAATTCAAAATAAATGAAGTTAAGGTCAAATGAAAGGTCAAGGTCAAAAAATGTTGATGCAATTGAAAAGGTTACATCAGTATGTATTAGCATATGAAGTTTGATAAAAATATTATGTTTTCTTTAAAACTGAGTTAAACACAAATTGAGAAAAGTGAAGTTAAGGTCAAAGGAAAGGTCAATGTCAAAAAATATTGATGCAGTTGAATAGCTCTCATCAATATGTATTAACATATGAAGTTTGATAACACTGTACTGAATGGTATCTTTAAAACTGAGCTAAACACTAATTTAAGAAAAGTGAGGTCAAGGTCAAAGGAAAGGTCAAGGTAAAAAAATATTGATGCAGTTGAAAAGCTCTCATCAGTATGTATCAGCATATGAAGTTTGATAAAATATCTTGAATGATTTCATTAAAACTGAGCTAAACACTAATTTAAGAAAAGTGAGGTCAAGGTCAAAGGAATGATCAAGGTCAAAAAATGCTGATGCAGTTGAACAGCTTACATCAGTATGTATCAACATATGAAGTTTGATAACACTGTCTTGAATGGTGTCTTTAAAACTGAGCTAAACACTAATTTAAGAACAGTGAGGTCAAGGTCAAATGAAAGGTCAAGGTAAAAAATGTTGAAGCAGTTGCATAGCTCTCATCAATATCAATCAGCATATGAAGTTTGATAAAAATATCTTGGATAGTTTCTTTGAAACTGAGCTTTAAACAGGGCTAAACGCAAAGTGTGATGGAAAGACAGACGGAAGGACAGAAGGAGGGAAGGACAGACATGACAAACACTATATGCCCCGCCATGAATATGGTGGGGCATAAAAATCTTTCATTTAAACTACTACGCAAAACTGTAGACTCTTATTTTAGCCATTTATATGACCAAAATTTTTTAGTTAATACCTTATTTTGCTTATTAATCTGATGAATTGTTGTTTCGTTGTTCCTAATTAACTCAAGAGAAACTTGAAGTACTTTTCCTAATAATTCATATTTGGAGCATTTATGTAAACTAGTAACTATATATAGTTAGCAGTACTTTTTGAATGTTTATATCCTTCCTTGAAATAGTGAATTTAAGATTACCATTATATTCTGGGCCATACAACATGAATAAAATTCTGGCTTGATGAACCATAGGCCAAGGTTTTAGAATTCTTCCTAACCAAAATGCTCTGTCAACAACTGACTGACAGTGGTCTAATATCACTCTTCTAAGGAACATCCGCACCTCATACTCAATCTGTGCATGGGTACCTGAAATTTAACAGCCAGAAATACACGTTATATCCACTAAATATTCAATATGGAAAAGAAATAAAGTCAAACCTCTTTATCTTGAACTCAATAAATTAACCAAGAAAAACTTTCGAGATATCTGAGGATTGAGATGTTTTGGGTAAAATCGTAAAGAATAAGGGGTTGGGCCTTCAAAATCACTTTAACATATCCATGGTATTCGAGATATCGGTGTTTGAGATACCAAAGTTCCACTGTATCACTTTTAAAACAGGTTATTTCTTAAAGTTTAAAACTTTTGGTCTAGTATTTATATACGAGGATTATCCCAGAAAAATGCAAACTTTTCAAGTATTTCATAAGCTACCTGATCAAAATTATTAGGGCCCCGCAAGGATTTGCGGGTGCCCTATAGTAATCACTCTGTCTGTCCATCTGTCTGTCCGTCTGTCATTCTTCCGTCCACAAATTTTCTGTTTTTTTCTAATAACTTTTTTTGTAGTTGACCAATTAAGTTCAAATTTAGTATGTTGGTTGAAGAGGCAGTAAGACATATTTTGATGCTAAGTTTGGTTCTCTATGTCATCCAGTTTGGAGCTGGGGTGGTGGGGTAGATTCCTTAACTTTACATTAGAATGAATGCCAGGGCAAAGAGAGATAACTGCTGAGAATGTTCCTATTGTAAACTATGAAAGCTGCAACTAGTCCCATGGGATTAATTAACTTTCCTCTTGAAGAAAATCCAAAGCATTATCTGTTTCTGTCAAATTTAGATTAATTAACACCTCTGTCTGCAAATGAAGTTTGTTTTGAAGTTAAGGTCAATTCTGAATGATGTTTACATTCTCTGAAATGTGGATTTAAATAATGTTCATACTTTATTTTGGTAAAATATACAATGAGTTATGATTTTATTGAATTCTAAAAACAAGATATACATAAAGATATGTTTTTTTAATTTTTTTTTAATTTATGTATTCTTTTTTTTTGGCTGCTGTATGTAAATTCAAGAATACTATTAATTTTAACGAGTAGTCCAATAATAAACTCATTGTATCATTACTGAAAGAGTTCTTATTATAAACTTGGAAGAAAAGGATGAGAGAGCAGTACGATTAATCCCATGGGATTAATTATCTTGTCTGGGGCAGAACATTTTCCAGGCTTATCTTTATTTGTCACTTTAAGATAAATTAACCTTTGTCTGCAACTGATGTTTTTTTTTTTAAGTTAAGGTCAAGCCTGGGTGATATTTGTATTCACTGAAGGCTGGCATTTTATAAAACACATGCTTTATTCTTGTTTAAATATACATTTAATTGAGTTATTATAGATATGATGTTTTTTACTGCCTTATGTAAATACAGGGATACTCTTTACAGGTAGTTGGATATTTAGGAATTATCTTGAAATTTGATAAATACAGTTGTTATTGCATATTCTTCTTCACATATTTTTAAATTTTTGTAATCAATTAAAATTCTCATTCTGTAAGCTGTACCCTTATATTTCTACTCCTCGGCGGGGCCCTTGCTGACTGGTCAGTTTTCTAGTTCTTTTTTTATTTGCACATTCCCATTGTTGGGAAATGATATTTTTGGTCATTTTATCAAAATACAGTCAAACCTCATTATCTCGAACTCAATGGGATCAAGAAAAAACTTCGAGATATCCGAGGATTCGAGATATCAGGGGTAAAATACTTAAAGAATAAAGTGGTTGGGACTTTCAAACACTTCGACATATCCATGGTATTTGAGATATCAGTGTTCAAGATACCAAAGTTCAACTGTACTATAAGGATCGAGGTAATGTCGTAAGGCTGTAATAGGCATGTGAAAACACTATTTAAAGGGTTTAAATGTCATTGGTTGGTGCGCTGTAATTTTTGTACTTTTAAAAATAGCATTGCCATTGATGTTTTCTTTATTATTATTTTAAACATAAATTTTAATTTGACAAAATTTACATCCATGAAAACTCTATGATCTGGATGTGAATGTGTGAAAAATCATGAATTTAACATTATAAATGACTAAATATACCAAGTTATATGCACAAACACAAGCAAGTCTGACAATATTATGCATGCAGTGCACCATATTATCATTTTGTGCTGTATGTAGTAGTGTATGACTCCTGTCCATATGGGAAAAGATATAATGACACAAACTGGTCTCAGTCACTGGTTCATACCTGGCAAAAAAGTTTCAAGGATGGCTGGACTAGTTATCTGAGAAAGAGACAAATCGTACACCAACAAAACGATGACAAACTGAAAAGACAGGAGCTGGACATCATACATGGAGACTGCCGTAACTACTGTACACAGGGTTATTTTTGCCCCATGTTATTTTCGCCCTTTCACACTTGCAAACAATTTTGCCCCATTTTAAATTCGCCCAGTCACAGTTCTGTTTAAGAAATTATACTGTGCTCTTTGAATTCACTCCATTTTAAATTCGCCCACCTGTGAGTAGGGTGAATGGGGAGAAATCAGGGGCAAAAATTTTCCTGGATACAGTATGCGAAAAGTTGGGATTATGATAAGGGTTGGGAAATTGTCTATTCAAAGAATGAATTCTACAATCTTTTGGTGACTCAGTCACTCTAGTATGTGCAATATGGATAACTAACTCGTTAACTAAAAGAAAATCAAATGCAGTGTCCAATTTATGCTGCAATCATATGTGTAGAGACGCATGCATGATTCCTAAAGAAATTCACATATGCCACTAGCTACATTTTGATGTTGATCATCAGTGTTGCACCATCAGTTAATTATTTTGTAAGATTTGTTTTACTGGGAGGAAAATGTTACTTAAACATTTCCTTGAAATTTCTCTGTTGTATTAAAAAAATCTCGATTATCATGTGCTTGCCTATTGTTCACATTATAATATTACTGAAACAAAAAACATAACAAATGTTCATGTTTTTCTAGGACAACCCTCATTTTATAAGAATAATATTATGTAAAATACACTGTGTATTGATTGTTTCACATTTTGGAAAATGTATTTCTAGTTTAAAGGACATTGGCAAGTCAGGGTTTTCCGGAGAAAAGGGTTTAATACATGGGTTTTTTCACTTATAAAATAGTGATTGAGAGTCATCTCCCGTGTAGAATTCTCTAAGCGGTGAGAACCAATAAAGCGTATGTTACAGAGGTAAACATAAGCACGTGTTTCTCCTTCAACGGGTAGAATCATCTATACATCAAGAAAGAAAAGCTGTAATGGCTTTGTTGTACATTGTATTCAGGGACAAAGAGCCAACAGGCCGTTATTTACCATAGTTATGCTCAGTTTGCTGGGAATTAGGGCAAAGATGTGACATATGCTGAAAGGTAGGTCGACCATGCCGACTGAGAACAGTTCTTAGGTCGTGTGAAGGAATCGGCATTTAGTATACGTAACTACAAATAAAAGTTGAAAATAAATCCATGACAATATTTTTATGACAATGTGTTTCAATTCATTCAATTACATGATAAAATCAATCAACCAGTCTCTTGACCAATTTTAGCTGTTAAGGCACGCAACTCAAAAATGATGATCGGTGCCGATATAATCCATGTCTTGTTTCTATATATACATTTTCAGCCAAAATATCTAGAAATCATAGGAAATGAAGATACAATAATGCATATAATACAAAAACTGTATGAAATAAATGGGTTTAGAAGAAATATTATGGTGAAAAATTATGTAGGTCCCTTTTATCAACATTTTACATAGGAATTAAATGCATTAAGAATTGTGAAAACACTAATTTGACAAAGTCTAAAAAAGAATGTTGGATTGGTAGGTTAAACGATCAAGCAGTGATTATTTTACACCCAATTAAGGTCCGAATATCGCCCCTTTCTCCTCTTAAAAATTACTGATTTTTTCCCAATTTCTGTTGCTTTTTTCCCAAAACAAAACCGATGTTGTTTTTGTTACATTGAATTTTTACATACAACTTATCTAAAATGGAACGCTATTGTTCTCGGTCATTCAAACTCTTAAAATAATAGTAAGGAACAGCAGATTACTTTGTGTGTTTACTAGACTTTGAAAAACACAGTCATGGTCATGTCAAACTTGTTGTGTAAATACATCGTAAGAAAGTGTAATGTGCATGTTAACCGGCTAAACATAGCTTTATTTGTAAATCCAAGTACTAGTTAGTAGTAACTCTACAATAAGCATCCCTGATTCCACGAAAACCAAACTGTTTCTACATCAACTACAGATACAACTAGTATTGCAGAGAAATGGGTGCAATATGATGAGCTCGGGTAATTAAAAAGCTTCATTAGTTTGAAAAATAAATGATTTGTCATAAATCATGTCAGATTATTCTATCTTCAGTGGAGAAAGATTTTCTCTTATGTCTACCGTTAAGGCAAAAAAAAAAAAAAAAAAAAAAAAAAAAAAAAAAAAAAAAAAAAAGATGGAAATATAGGTTGGTCACAATTAATGACAACTTTCAAAGATTAAAAAAAGGTTAAGAATTTTAAAAGAACTGTGTTTAATTTGTTATTTTTTTTAAGTAAATATATTGAATAAATGATGTTACATTTACTTATAAACCAATATTTTATTTCACCTGGCAATTATAAAAGTTAAATTTCAATCTTTTTGATTTTTCCCAATTCGATACAAATGTCAATGATTTTTCCCAATTGTAAAGGCCCAGGCCCCTTTTAAAAAATGTAGAAAAATCTCTGTCAAGAATATAGCCTGTTTAGTACATTTAAACCTACTCAATAGTTCTTGAAAAATTCTATACAATAACCAGGAACCTTGCCAATGTCCTTAAGAGGATACTCAATTGCCGTATGGGATTTCTTCACTGCAGTTTGAATATTGGTAGTGTGACGGACAGATTATCCCATTGGTTCTGATGAGGGGAAACTTGGAAATAAATCATTGGATATCATTATCATTATTTATTTTCTTATATTGCATACCATACATATGATGCTCTTCCATTGGGGGAAGTCTAAGCATGCAAGTACCTGGTTTAGAGCTCATAACAAGTTTGACATTTTTCAGAAGACATGTGTGATGAATGATTGCATCATAGGTTCTTTGACACTCTGAATCATCCCATCCGGCTATCACAGTGTGGAGGAATTTCCCAAAGCATGTCAATGACAAGCATTGGGACAAGTTATCACAGTCAGCATTATTGCACATCATCTATTAAAAAATTCAGATCAAGATATCTAATAAAAATGATGTGACTTTTAGGTAATATTTTACAAATATAAAGAATATAAAATCTGACCATTTAAATAGAATACTTCATGGATTAATTACATTGAATACAACTGTACAAGCACCTGAACCAGTAATTATACCCTCTGCATAAGAAAACAGACATGTATGCTGGTATCGTACATGTACTAACTTCAAATTAAAACAAACCTTTGTCAAAATCCCATTTACAAACTTGAGTCTGTCTCTTGTTGCATACAAGCAAGTTGACCTTTTGGTAAGCAAACCTAAGAAAGAAAAATAATCTGTGGACCAATGTTTGCCATGTATGATTTGACACCCACATACAAACTTGCATATTTACTACCCTGCAAACAGATAAGAGAAACCTTATCAATGAATAAGTCCTTCTTTGGTCTTTGACCAGTAGAGCTTAAACGATATAGTCGCATATGGATTTTAACATACCTTGCACATTTTGTCAATTTTTCAAATCTATAAGAAAATATATATAAGATTATCAAGAAAGGTTATAGGATTAGCAAATGAAGAGAAAAAGAACTGTATAGGAGAACTGTGCAGTTCTTAATACCTAGTCTGTGAAATATTTCAAGGTAACTTTTCTGCTGTTCTTGTGGAGAAACTTGTGCACTTTTGGAAACATGAAGCTTTTGTAGGAGTACATTTGGAATTAGTGGCATAAGGACCCTGTATCCTTCTATCAGGTTTCTCATTGCTTTTGATGTAATTGTCAAAATGCTTAAATCTTCCACTAGAAAAAGAAAATATTTAATAAATTAAAGTTTGCAAAGTTCTACTAATGCAATTGTGAGGATTAATTGTTGTGATGCAAGTTACCTGTGAGGTATCGTAGAATAAGAAACTTCAGCTCTAAAGGAAGAACAACAAAATGCCCTAATGAACCCGAACTCATAGCTTCTGTCTTGATATCAGGTATCTCTTTTGCTTCCAGTCTATGGGAGCGTCGGAGTTTCTTGCACTGCAGAAATGCCTTTATGTCCATAACAGACGATCTCAGTCTAAATTAAAACCATAGAAAATCCATGCTTGTATCTGCATATTTCATAATTTTAAAGAACGTTGACCATGTAAACAGTGTTTAACATTAGGCCTAACGTTACCATGCGAACATTTCAAGCTTTATGTCGGCATTATTCATTCAAGATTTAGGTTGAAAATTAAAATAGTTCCTAAATAGGCCCACTAACTGAGACTTATATAAAATAGTTCCTAAATAGGCCAACTAACTGAGACTTATATAATATATAATAAAGAATTTATATTCCTATATCCTTACCGTTTCATTTGTGATGCTTAAACATCGGCTCTTGGTCATCCAGCTTCTCGTTCAAAAAACGTCGTCTGCAGAGCAATATTTCGCGGGAAGTGTCGTCTGCAATAAATAGTGGTCTGATCAAGAATGAAAAATATAAATCCGTGAAAAGTGCCCAAGTAAGCCAACAAAAATTTTAGAACAAGTACATGATAAATATTTTTAAATCAAACTTGTTCTTGAGCTTCAATATGCAGGGACTTACTTTTCCGAGGAAACCACAGTTTATTTTCGTGATATAACTTTCTCTCCTCGTCAAGCTAAAGAGCTCGCATATAAGCGAAAAATATTTGGGATCGTTGGTATCATAATTCCACAATTCATACTGTTTTTTGCTGCGGTATGCTATGAACATGATGATTATCGTGTTTAAGCTAGTGCAAAAATGCAGAATGTTAACCTTTTTGTGCCGTGATTGAAAAAAGAAACAAACAAACATGATCGACAGTGGTAAAAATATCGGTTAGGTCTATCGTGTTGGTACACCGGATGTTTTCATTTTGAGAAAAAGTATGGCCACTACAAGTTTCCAGAAAAAAGCACGAGTTAAATTAAATCAAATACCTGGAACTAAACCATCTTTATTTAACAACCAGTTACTTATCTCATCAGGTGTTCCATCTCTGGATAACATAATAGGTAATGTCAATCCGCAAAACACTGAAAAATTGTTGTTTCCTACATAGACCTGAAGCTTCAGGTCATGTTACGTATAAGTTTTATTTAGAAAAAAAATAATAATACTACGACCGATTTTTTTTTCTCAGGAGGAGGGCTTGCTGTTGGGACAGTTTGTTTAATTGGTATGTATTTCAAAAGTCTTTTAACAAGTAGATATGATATATAGTGAAAGTTTCAAAGTCGACATGATGAGAACTTAGAACAGCAGAGTTTCATGTATGCAGTCTAGACGAACTCCAAAAACAGCGTGAACTCCGAAAACGAAGTCTTTGGCTCCATCATGCATTGCGGCAAAATGGCGTCCGATGTAAACAAACGATGAATTGTCGTTCGCTTTCTCTAATTATACGGCTGTATAATGGCTGTATTAAGTGCATTGTTACTTCATTTTATTTTTTGTTGAATGGATAAATGCATTTATTAAATTATTTTGTGAATATTGACTTATTTATTGCTTCAAACTCTTGCATAATAGTGAATTGGATATAGGACATCGAATTCAATACTGCCGGTAAGAAATATTTTCTTATTTAATTTATTGTCCCCTTGATTTAAAATTTTATGTCGTTCCTACAATAAAGGTGCTTTTATTTGTTTTTGAAGACACCCAGCTTGTATTTATTTTAATCAGAAAATGCGCATTTTTCACCACGGAGCAGAGATATTAACAGGTTCATTTTTAGAAGACATGTTGTGCCCTTAATATCTAGAAGAGTGGCTTTTAAGTTTTCATATTAACAGAAAATAGTTTTAAAAATATTTTCATAATAATATCTGTTCGTATGTGATAAAAAATTGGTAAGTAACAATGGTAAGAACTTACGCGTTCAATTCCGATGTCGTACACAAATAAAAAACCGGAATGCTAATTTATGTGTAAAATTCAGTCAAGTTTTTAACAGTTACAATATATATGTCCCATTTTGCATATATATCCCTTTTATATTATGCATATTTACTTCTCAAAACGTATCATTTTCTCTGTAATTGATCTCACTTGTAACGTTAACTTTGAAATATCTCCTTTTTTGCAAATAAAATAAAAAATCTGACAAATACAATCTCTTCCGAAGTCTTTTGTTAACATTTCTGAGTACTGGCATAATTGCCATACTTTTCAAAACTTTGCACGGACAGTTTTTGTAGACCCATCATTTTTGCCGAAAAATCGACATTTTTTTGTGTGTGTGCGCATGCGCGGACTCTATTTTCGGAGTCTTTTTCAGTCTCAATTTCTTACTTCCGGAAACGCTGTTTTTGGAGTTCGTCTAGACTGGTATGTTGTTACAGGTCTATACAATAAACAATGTATACAGTGGGCATGGTAAACAACATCATCACAATTATTTTAGTTTGTTTGTGACACTTAGAATATGGCACAATTGACACATAAAATCTAGCATACCCAGTAATTGTAAAATACAAGTAAAATTACCTTTGGTTCTTTAAACAATATCACTAGATTATGAAAGGAAATAAATATGAAAATTTGTTATATGATTAAAGCCATTTACTCGAGGGTGACCCATGAAAGCCATAGTAGGCTTATTTCCAATGGGGTCATCATTGCCAGGGGTCCCGAGTCCACACTTGTTCATTGGACCCCTGACAAACTTCGTTTGGTTTGTAAGGACGTGCTTATTTATTGATCCACTTGTTGGCTGCCATGTTTAGATTTCAACCAATTTTGGCCACATAAGGCCTTGGCAAACAAAAATGGTTGACTACTTGCCTGCATGGGACAGGCTATCCATACTTCAAATATTCAGGGTTGGTAATCGTAGGGAGCATCTCAAACGTCATAGAAACTTCACTGGAACATTTGAAAACAAAAAGGAAATTTATGTGAGATGCCGTACTTTACAAGCTCTTTCCTGATACAGAATTAAAAAGCTGGCAAGTTACCCCCTAGCATTGCTATCAACATGATCAAAGCTTTGGTTTTTCTCAAGAATTTCTAACCTAACATTTTAGAGACACACATATTTTAATGAAAGCTCAGAAGCTGTACATTGTAAATATAGTTGTCCAATGAACATTGTACCTGATTTCTGACCATTTAAATTGAGCAGTGGACATTAAAATTACATCTTGTTAAAATTATTAAAAAATATCAGAAAGAATTTGAATAGATATTTTTCTGTCTGAATAATTAACCATTTACAATTAAAATTACAGAGGAAGACATTTATGGCAGTTATGCTCGCTTGCTGTTGAAGTACTTTTCTGCTGAGGCAGTAGTGACGGGTCACTCCTTGTTATTAACCAGCGCTGATCAGGATCCATCTCAAATGATCAAGGTTGTGACAATTTGTAAAAATAAAAAATATCATGTTAGATACAAAGTTCTGACTGAACCATTAGGCATGAACTGAATACTTACTAGCATTTAGATTTTAAATGACCATTTTTGAATTACCAATGTTTTTTAGGTAAAATATTAACAACTGTCAGTCATTTATGAATTTTCACTTCAGTTCTAACTTTTTGCTTTTGATACGATAATAGCATCAAGATATCATGTAAATCAGGTTCATTGTACTTGCATTTACATGAATTTAAAATTTACACATTACATAGTTTAACCTTTGCTATAATTATGTCTCCCCTTCCAGGGGAGACATATTGTTTTTGTCGATTTTCTTCTTCTTCTTCTTCTTCTTCATCCAAATTTTGTCCAGGCCGTAACTTTAATACCCTTTGACATTAAGACTTCAAACTTGGAACATAGATAGATGATATTGAGAAGGAGTGCACACCACCAACATTTTTGACCTTGACCTATATATAAGGTCAAGGTCAATCTTTTACATCAAAATAGAGTTTAGCCCATAACTTGAGATCCCTTTGATATTAGGACTTCAAACTTGTAACATAGGAAGAAGACCTTGAGACAAAATGCACTGCATTAGAATTTTGACCTTGACCCCTTTCTGCCTTCAAGGTCAAATAGGGAAAAAACACGATCTGACCATAACTTGAGAACCTTTTGACATTAAGACTTCAAACTTGGAACATGCAGAGGTGGTATAAAGGAGGTATGCATGCCACCCAAATTTTTGACCTTGATTCAATAATTATAAGGTCAAGGTCAATCTTTTACATAAAAATAGAGTCCAAGCCATAGCTTGAGTACCCTTTGATATTAGGACTTCAAACTTGTAACATAGAAAGAAGACATTGATACAAGATTCAACACACCAAAATTTTTGACCTTGACCTCTTTTCTTCCTCAAGGTCAAATAGGGAAAAAACTTGATTAGACCATTACTTAAGAATCCTTTGTTATAAAGACTTCAGACATGGAACATGCAGAAGTGGTATGAAGGAAGGATGCATGCCACCAAAATTTTTGACCTTGATCCAATTATTATAATGTCAAGGTCAATCTTTTACATCAAAATAGAGTCCAGGCCTTAGCTTGAGTACCCTTTGATATTAGGACTTCAAACTTGTAACATAGAAAGAAGACATTGTTACAAGATGCAACACTTCAAAATTTTGACCTTGACCCCTTTCTTCAAGGTTAAATAGAGAAAACATGACTAGACCATAACTTGAGAACCCTGACATTAAGACTTCAAACTTGGAAAATGGAGAGGTGGTATAGAGGAAGGGTGAATGGCAACATTTTTTCACCTTGACCTATTAATAAAGTCAAGGTCAATCGTTTACATGAAAATATAGTCTAGGTCATAACTTAAGAACTTTTTGACATTAGGATTTCAAACTTGGAACAAGGAAAGACAACATTGAGACTAAATGAACTGCATCAAAATATTTGACCTTGACCACTTTCTACAAGGTCAAATTAAGAAAAACACGACCACACCATTACTTGAGATCCGTTTGACATGAAGACTTGAAATTTTGTACACAGAATTTGAGTTGAGATGCACTGCATTATTATTTTTGACCCTGATCATATATTTGCACTCGTTAATGTTGGTAAAGAAGGGGAGACATGTGTTTTTTTGTAAAAAAAAAACAATACCCACTAGTTATTTACACTTTATAATCTAATATACAATAATTTACTGTATTTGTACTGTTTATAATTTAGTAATTCATTTTACTGGTTAAATTTTATGAATTTTGTACTTCATATTCTAAAATTGTAATGATAGGAACTCCCTGCTCCAATACTAGATGACCCAGGAGATTTGGCACAAGGGAACTTACCTGATCAGGCAGAGAACATGAAAATAGCTTGGAGATACCAGCATCTACCTGCCAATCAGGTGTACATTTATTCACTAAAGATCCATATAACATATTTGCAATCCATGTGAAAAGTTTTAGGCTCATCTGAGCCAAAGGCTCAAGTGAACTTTTCTGATCAAAATTTGTCTGTTGTAGGTTGTTGTTGTCCTCGTTAAATTTTCACATTTTCATCTTCTCTAGAACCACCAGGCTAATTTCATCCAAACTTGGCACAGGGTATCATTGGGTGAAGGGTATTTATGTGATGTGTATCATAGATGTATCTGTTTCTGAATGCATACTGTACTTACTAAATATAATTCTTGTTTTTATAGACCAGTCACTCCAGTTCTAAATTTGGCCATTACTATGACTTGACCAAAGTGATGGACACTCAGCTTATCTCAGCTATAAATCCAACACTTATTGGATCAGAGGACTTAGAAATGTAAGCAAGTACATGTAAATGTTAAAAAAAAAGTATTGGATCAGAGGACTTAGAAATGTAAGCAAGTGCATGTAAATGTTGAAAAAAAAAAAAGTAAGAGGCAAGCTCTCTGTGTTACACTTTGTATGACTGTATCAAGTGATAAAAATGATATTTCTATATATCGGGCTTTTAATTCAATTAAGGGATCTTTTAGTATTATATACTATTTATATCAGTATACATGTAGTCTTTGTTAATACATGTACCTATAGTTGAGTGTACTTTATAAGCTAAGGGTAATTTTACTGTGGTACTTCAATTCTTTCATGACGTTCTTACAGATATAATCTCTGTCAGGAAATATTTGAATCTATACATCTAAATTTGTCAAATACGTCATCAGTTTGTGTAAGATGTCCAGAGAAACATTTCTTGAGATGAAAATTCCCCCAAAACGTTGTTTTTGTCCATGGATACTTTGTACTGTATTTGTATACAAATCATACACAAACCTAGTAATAAACTGTTTCATGAGAATTGACATAATTGATACTTGTTTTTTTCAGGGCAAATTGACATAATATGGTGAAATATGACTCAACAGCAATTGTTTAATACATATCATTTAATTATCTTTTAGCAAAAACTTTGCCAAGAGTTATTAATTTGCCCGCAAAAAAGTAGTGCTGCAGTTATCATGAAAGGGCCTTTATTAAATGCTCTGCATGTTTCTTTGAATATATTTAATGTTGCTTTTAGTTAAATTTATTTAGTAAGTATGCCCTGTTGAAGATTTGAACATTTTTTGGTTATTTTCTAGAGGTTGTAAAGGATGTGAAGATCTTAACCCAAAATACAAATACTTACTGAAAAGAATCAAGGAGGAGATTGACAGTGGACATTTTAGTACAACTGAACAGACAGATAAAAGAAATATATTGCAAATTGGTAAATACGAGGGTTGATCCAAAAGTTCATGGAATTTCTTTCTAAAATTTGATTGTGATGTGTTTAAAGCAAACAAAAGACGTATCTATAAAATAGAGCCATTATGCAACAACGCTGGAAAATTTCACCACATTCCAATTACCATTAAGGTCACTCGAGCTTTCTTAACATGGACAGTTAAAAAATCCGGGGGAGACTTTAATGTAATGTCAAGTTAGGCATGTCACGTCATGTTCTAGGAGCATCTCGCCCTCAGTTCAAATCAACTTAGAAATTCTACAGAACACTGCATTCTTTTCTCCGTTTCTGCCTTTCAGGAAAGCCTGGGTACCAATCTCGGACCCACTTTCTACTTTATAATATTTTTTTTCAAAATACGCTCCGTCGTTTCATATGATGTTCAGATTTCAGTAGCAATGTCAAGCACAGTGCATCAGCAGTCCACGTCCATTAATGCTCTCAATTTGTTTACGATGAAAGAACGATCTTCCAAAAGGTGGTAGACTTTTCATCATCATCATCGAAAGTTTTATTTTCTTTCAATTTCTTATGTCACTTGAAAACTAGTTGGTTACTTAACTTTTGTTCTGCTTTATCATTAATATATGCATCTAAGTCAGAGTTCCCAAGATTTTCACAAAACTTATTAACTGACAGAATTCTGACATTGTCTAACTATGTCATGACGATCAATAAATCATTAATAGAAAAACTAAATATCCAGTAAAGTCGATAAATTTTTCACACAAAGGCTAATAAGAGTTCAAGCAATCGTAATTATGAAATGATTTTCGTTTTTTTGACACTTAGTGCATTTTGTTTATCAAGAATTGAAAGAATAACGAACAAATAAGTGTCTCTCCCGCATTTTCAAACAACCATTTCCATGGCAACTGCCAAAGTGTTACTATCATGAATTTTTAAAAAAAATTTTATTAAGAAAATTCAACAAGTGCATATATTTTCACCTGTAATTTTCAATCACTTCCATTTATAAATAAATAAAATATAAAGAAATTCCACGAACTTTTGGATCAACCCAGGCACGCACATGTATATTATACTCAAGTTATTACTGTTCTCTGGTTTAATGTCATTCATGACTACTTTCATATTTAGCAAGCAAATTGGGTTTTCCAATGATTTTTTTTAATTTTAAATAACATAGTCTTTCCCTTTTATTATACATGTATAATACTTACATCAACTAAATTCATTGCAGTATTAATTTTCCTTATATATCATTTGAAAATGCTGTGAAAATGAAAACTGTGCAAAAAATAAACCAGTAGACATCCAGTAATATATGATATGGTGACTTTTATAATTGTGTTGCTTTCAGGTGTTCATTCCCTGGGGTCTCCTCAGTGGGATGAATGTGGGGGACTTGCAGCTAACCAAGAGGACATTGATTATTCACTACCCAGATTTTTATTGGCCCTTAGAGTCTTAATGAGATCTGCTTTTGCTACATGTATGATTACTATGCCTACACATTTATTTCAGGTAGGTATTTAAAAAATTATAATTTTTTTTAATTAAGGAGTAATCAGTCATTGGCTATAAAATGCCTAAAGAATTTTCATTGTAAAATGGCAATATTGTGGATTTAATGCCCCCAGGCCTTTCAAAATTTGCCAATACCTGGTACTTTTACACAGCTGAAATCATGATTGTACAGGCCAAAGTATTCAATTGAGAAATATCAATAACATATTTAATTAAAATTGCTCCCTTAAGGTACCTCCAATTTTTGTAAAAGTACCACCTGTTTCTAATTTTTGAAAGCCCTGTGCCCCACACACACATATTGAAATGGGAGAGGATATAGGCTTATCATGTTTTCTCTGCTTTGGATTCTATGCAATAACAAGGAAGCAATTTCAATTCTTTTTTGGGGGTGGGGAGTGAACAAGGAAACATTTTCAGTTTGAGGAGCACTACCAAGCAAAAATCCCTTTATAAGGGGAAAAACAGAAAAAGACCATCAGACATTATTATTGTGGGAGCACAAGCAATAAGTAGCTGTTTTCTATAGTATACTATAGTTGAACTTCAGTATCTCAAACACTGATATCTTGAATACCATGGATATGTCAAAGTGATTTGGAAGTCCCAATCACTTATTCTCTAAGTATTTTATCCTTGATATATCAAATCCTTGGATATCTCCAAGTTTTTTTTTCGGTCCCATTGAGTTTGAGATAATTTTGTTCAATTGTTGTTTAACATCCCTCTTGAGAATTTTTCACTCATACGGAGACGCCACCAATTGCCGGTGGAGAGCTGCAAATTCTGATCTATACTCGGCACTCAGGGCCATTGAGTAGTGAGGGATCTTTTTTGTGCCAGCATCTACTGTGACATGGGACCTCTGTTTATACAGTCTCATCCGAAGGACCGGTCTTCATGTCCCACAGTTGGATTCAAACCCGCCACGTAAGGATCAACTCCTCTATTCATGGCCATAGGAATGGGGGGGGGGGGGGGGAGGGGCTGTGCCCCCAACAGCATTGTGCAGTGGTAGAGCTTCTGCTCTAGAGTCACGGAGTGAGGTGAAATTGTATTGGGATAATATTTGCAATATGGGTTGATTTGATGAAATGCTCAGCTGGGTCAGAGTGGGTGTTTTTGTTTTTGTTTTGCCTATAAATAAAAAAAAAAATGACTATCTGCAATACAGAGTGATCATAAAAGCAATCCTAGTTGAAATCTGATATTTTGTTGCATCCTTTTTTTAAAAGAATTGTTTGGACTCGGCGATTTTTTTCTACCTATTGGGGAAGGGTCCGGTAACGGTTCAATTGGAAAAAATAGCATCGAAGTAGAACAAAGGAGAATTTTCTGTCATTTAAACAAATGAAACGTATTTTGCGATTATTCCAACCTCATTACCTATTACTCCGTGTTTTAAAGAATAACAAGTATTTAATATAATGTTTTTTCATATCAATATCCCTTGTTTTCGCATTTTCATGCTTTCAATTTGTCAAAATGTATGACACTACGCTGTCTACACCACAGGTCCCACCATATTACGACTAATCTCTACTTTCGATTTAAGTGGAAGTGAAACAATTAGTCAACTTGTACAATGTTTCATATAAAAAGAAATACGATGTCATCGTAGTCTGTTGTTTGGCAGTTGAATTGGGAATTTTTAGTCTCAAAATTGGGGAAAATTAACGTTTTTTGGCATTGGGAATGTTACCGTTCCTTGGTACCAGTTTTATAAGGGAAAAAAATGCTGGGACTACAAAGTTCCTATAAGTATACGCATTAAAATCTTACTAAATATACCTCAAATTTGAACTTTAAAATGGTAAGATTATGCAAAGATTGGGGTGGGTATGCATTCATGTCTTAGGGGTTCATCTACTTAAACTTCATTCATGAAAAGAACAAAGATTAAATGAAAAAGTAAATGTTAATGCAAACATTTGGCATTTGATAAGGAGCAAAACACTCTGGTTGAATTGTTATACAAATAAATTGAATATTGGAAAACAATTTTATTACAGATTCCTGGTTTTGTTGGTCGACTACGTAAAATGTGTGACACGGTTTTACATCTTGATAGTTTTGCTGGTTCAGACAAAGAGAAAAATCCTGCATACAAAGAGTATCATGGTAAATATGACAGCAAAGTGTGTCCTAATTTCTGGATAAATTCATAATCTATAAAAATGGAGGGAAAAATGTTTTAGGAAGATTCGTCTTTTTATAAGACACAGGTTAGTTAAAATAGTGAACAGGCCATCAGCCCATAGAGTCTAATCACATGCCCAATACACACAAATTTATGTCCATGCCTTTCATGGTTGCAAAGAATCTGCTACTCTAAACACATGTCTCATATATGAACATAAACAAGAATTTAAACAAAAACAAAAAACAAAACAAAACAACAAAGCTATGGTGTGTTACACATTACTTTATCATGTATAAGTTGAAAATTGGTTTTACCATTTTAAGACTATGATGGTAGAGCAATTATTGTAATTTTAAGAAAATTCTCTATTTACATCAATATCATTTTATAATACTTATCTGGTATATAATGTTGATGATAGGTGTTTGTTTGAATGTAGTTATAAAATTTTTTAAAAACTTTTTAATGTCACTTTATGTTGTCTTTTAACAGGTTTATTTCATATAGTTCAGCTTCCACGCCTTAATTCCTTGTTATGTCATATGCCAGATACACTGGATTTTGCATTTAAATTGAGGAGGAAAAAGTTTACTATAGAGGTAAGTGTAGAAGATCTTCATTAGAGAAGTGTAGCAGAAGCTATAATAGAGCCAAGTGTAGCAGACACTACAATATAGGAAGTGTAGCAGAATCTTCAATAGAGTAAATGCAGAAGTTTTAGCAGAGGTAAGTGTAGCAGATGCTAAAGAAGAGGAAGTAACAGAAGCTTCAATAGAGGTAAATGTAGCAGAAGCTACAAAAAAGGTAAGTGTAGCTAATGCTACAATAGAGATACATGCAGCAGTATCTACAGTCATTATAGCAAAAGCTACAATAGTGTAAGTATAGCAGAAGCTTTAGTAGAGTTAGCTTCAGTAGAAGGTAGTGTAGCAGGAGCTTCAGTAGAGTTTAGTGTAGTAGGAGCTTCAGTAGAAGGTAGTGTAGCAGGAGCTTTAGTAGAGGTTAGTGTAACAGGAGCTTCAGTAGAAGGTAGTGTAGCAGGAGCTTCAGTAGTGGTTAGTATAGCAGGAGCTTTAGTAGAGGTTAATGTAGCAGGAGCTTCAGTAGAAGGTAGTGTAGCAGGAGCTTCAGTAGAGGTTAGTGTAGCAGGAGCTTCAGTAGTGGTTAGTATAGCAGGAGCTTTAGTAGAGGTTAGTGTAGCAGGAACATCAGTAGAAGGTAGTGCAGCAGGAGCTTCAGTAGAGGTTAGTGTAGCAGGAGCTTTAGTAGAGGTTAGAGTAGCAGAAAAGCTTTTTCTTATTTCAACAGAGAATCACATTGACTCACAGTAAACCTGTTTAATCCAACATCCATTGGGCAATGCATTTTTTGTTGGCATAGACAAAGTGAAGGACAGTGTGAAATTGCCCTTTCTTAAGAATACATGTACTTTCTTATTCTATCAATAGTTTTTAGCTCACCTGAGCCAAAGGTTCAAGTGAGCTTTTCTGATCAAAATTTGTCCGTTGTCATCGTCATCGTCATCGTCATCGTTGTTGTTGGCGTTGTCATAAACTTTTCACAATTTCATCTTCTTCTCTTGATCTACCAAGCCAATTTCACCTAAACTTAACACAGAGTATCCTTGGGTGAAGGGGATTCAAATTTGTTCAAATGAAGGGCCTTGCCTTCTTCCAAGGGGAGATAATTATGAATTTGTGAAAAATTAATGGCATCATTTAAAATTCTTCTTCTCAAGAACCACTGTGCTTGAAAATATGAAACTTATGTGGAATCATTGTGAGGTAGTGTAGATTCAAGTTTGTTCACTTCATGACCCCCGGGGATAGGGCGGGGCCACAATGGGTGATCAATGTTTTACATAGGAATTCATAGGAAGAAATCTTTAAAAATCTTCTCAAGAACAGCAAAGCCATGATTGGTCATGTCTATATGCAAGCATCCACAGGTAGTGTAGATTCAAGAGTGTTCAAATCATGACCCCCGGGGGTAGGGTGGGGCCACAATGGGTGACCAAAATTTTACATAGGAACATATCGGAAAAAAATCTTTAAAAATCTTCCTCTCAAGAACAGCAAAGTTTTACATAGGAATACATAGGAAAAAAATCAGCAACAGCCATTTTGTGTCACGTTTATTCAAAAGCATCCTTAGTAAGTGTAGATTCAAGTAAGTTCAAATCATAACCCCCCCTCCCCCCACTTTTATATTTAAACTTCTCAGAACTGAACTGATTTCTGCTTTTTCCCAGCCAAAGTGCTCAGGTGAGCGATGTGGCCCCTGGGCCTCTTGTTAATTGCTTATGTCTATTTGATATGGAGAGCAAGCCTTTATAGTTCACATTTTCTCAATAATATTAAAATGTTTTCCTTTAACCTTGAGATTCAAAGTATAAATGTAATTCAAAGAACATCATAGATAATCTAATATATCATTTCATTTTGTACCTTTGGTAATTCTTCAGCCACTACATTATTAGTGACTACATTATTACTGGGATAGACAGATTAAATGAGTGAGGTCAAGAATACCCCTGTAAGACTAAGTTTTGTTGTCATATTAATAAATCTAAATTCCTAATAAGTATCAGGGTCCCATAGTCAGCTAGAAGGCAAGAACTTGACATAATAGAAGCCTTACATAAGTTGTTTACTGGAGTATTTTGATCATTTTTTTTTGTTATTCATCAAAGAATCTGAATAATGATTTCCTGCTGAAAATTATGCAGAGTTACATGGGAGGAGAAGAATAATTATCTAGATATATCATACCAAGCTAAAGCTTACTACATTCCAAAGAACACACATGTTTATAAAGCATTAGGATGCATGCTCATTTTTACATAAATCTGTCCATAAGTTTGCTTCCATATACATATGTATCTTCTATGAATAAATCTTTAAGGTAAAGTCAGAATAAATCAATTATAAAATCTGGCCTAATAGTTTTCTAAAAGATTAGCTGAGATATTTGTGTCTAAATGATAAAATCTAATGTGGTCCCCATAGTCTAGTTCTTTTGTAATGGTACAATGATCATTCACTGCATTGCATTTATAATAACATTATACACATTGTGACCCATAATCCTCTAGTGTATTTTATTCAGGATACATTTTTGCAGTGTTAATGGCCTGAAATTAAGACAATAAAAGCTTTGTATTTATTTTCTTTCAGAAACTTCACTTACCCCCGGAATTGTCAGAGACAGCTAACAGAAGTCAGGAGGATGTGGTCCCACAATTAAAAACTTCTGCTGCTACTTGTTCTGCAGGCAAACCTAATAAACTTGAATTTTAATTACATAGACTTATCTATTTTTATTCATGTATTGCTAATTTTAAATACGAGGGGTTATCAAAAAGTTCGTGGACTAGCGTCATAAAATTAAAACCGCTTAAGATACATCAATGAATTTTGGAACATTAAATAAGCATCTTCTTTTCTATCCGTAAAATAAACTATAAATCATAAGTTTTATTTTTGAGTGAATCGTAAATGTTTTTGTAAGCAATGGTATGTCAAGGCGGCGCAACCTCGAACATGACGTATTTTCTACCTGAGTGTAACTGAGAAAAACTCTTCTAATATGAGCATTTGTCATCCGAAATTCCCATTAATTCGCTCATGTGATATGACATAATTTTCCCGTAAAAGTTGCAATTTTTACCTGATTCTATATATTCTATGAAATTTTATCGTAAATTTTATAGGGAATGTCCAAACAATATAGGGGTTAAAAATGACGTTGAAAGGGGGTAGGGTGTCATTTTACAACTTTCTATAAAGTTTCAGCCCCTGGAAAACCTGACATAGACCTAGAAAATGTTTAAACAGGCTACAGAGAAATAAAATACATCCAGAGTACTTGTGTTTAAATACAAGACAGATTCAGCAAGAAAAGAGACACACGGTTAATGTCGATTTGTAGTCAGGGTGTCCAAAGTCAGACACGTCGAAAAGTGACGTTGATCTTTGGTTGACATTGAACACCGGCAAGAAAATTATGCAGGCAAATCAAGCGAGGATCTTTTCCAATGTATAGATTTAATATTTACAATATTAATGCATTGAAATCATGTGTTCATAACATTGTAAAGTCATATAAACAAGACGGGTTTAGGTCTTTACTTTACTCAAGAGAATCTCATCAAGATAAGTGTATTGAGGCAGAGGGAGCGGGCATGGAGAAACTAGGAGACTAATTGTTCAGAGAACAATTAGAGGCCTTTCCACCTTTCTAAGTGTTTCCGTGTCATTTGGGTTGAAGAAAAGGAGAGAAATGCAAATAATGCAAATAATGCAAAAAAAAAAAAAAAAAAAAAAAAAAAAAAAAAAAAAATGCTCCTCCAGCTAGGCTCGAACTCAAAACCCTTGGGTTGAAAGGCAGGTGCGCTAACCATTCGGCCACGCATTCCGATAACATATGTAAGTTAATTGTTTAAGACTACAGAAGAAATGCAAGCGTATTTTTAGAATCGGTAGGGGAAGAAAGAAGTTCCGTAAAAGGAAATAGTTCCTGAATTTGCAAGCAGTATATTAAATAATAAGGGACGGACTGCGTAAGAAAACATTAACACTGTTCCCTAATGAAAATGTATTAATGGACTGTAGCCCGATTCATCGATATTGTGAGCATGCTGATTTTTTTTGTAAATAGCTTTGTTGTAAGCTTAAAAGATCGGGTTCGGATTTTAACATTTCTGACTGAATATCCTGAAATAAATATGAAACATTTAAATAAGCATTTCTTTGGGTTTAATAAAATATGTGTAGCCCAAATTAAACTCCCAACATGCATTTTTAGAAGGGAAACACAACAATGAAAGCGAGAATTGTTTTTAATCTACCGAAAATCGCTATTTCTGGAAACTGATTAATTCTAAATAAAAATCAAATAAATTCCAAATGTAAAAGAAAGAGAGAATGCTTGGTATTAAAATGTCGTATCATATCAGGAGAATCGAATGCTGCTAACGACATCTGAAGAAATAGCCGATAAAAGGTTTAGATCATTTCTTCGTTCACCTGCACTTTAATTACAAACACAACAGAACTTGTAGTTTTTGCCGTGAAACTTCAAGACTTCTATAAACTTAGAGGACTCACCGTAAAACTCTCCAGAAACTTCCTCTGAGGTCTATACTACAATTGTACCAAATATGGTGTCGATCCGAGGTCTGGTTTGAATTTGACAGAAATATTCTACGTTGTTGTTGATGTGATTTTTTTTTTTTTTTTAAGAAGGGGGGGGTAGGTTAATTATTTATTTTATGCCTCTTTTAAACTAAGAATTGTAACTACTTCCAATTCCTTAAGCCTGATTGTGACCTTGGGTCAAGGTCAAAGGTCAAGGTCATTCAAAAAAAAAAAAAAAACAACAACAAACCCCCCCCCCCAAGAAATCTTTACTTTCTGTCTTTTTACCAGATACTGGAGCTGGATGCATGTCCTAGCTTTTCTATTTGACCCAAGGTCAAAGGTCAAGGTCAAAGTTCAAGGTCATTTGGTGAATTGCTATATTTTACACATATATAAAGGATTTCTTATGTTTTTAAATGACCTTGACCTTTGACCTTGACCTATATTTCAAGGTCAAAGGTCGAACATGCCCATGCAGTTGATCCCATGTCTCTAGGATACACCGTTTTAAAAAAAAGTTCATTAAATGTAAGCAGCGTAAACTTTCAGGGGCAGTAACTCATACAAGGGACCAAAGAATGCTTTCGCAATGATAGAATGAAGAGAGTACTAAATGAGTCGAAGACACTGATGAAGGTTTGGAATCTCTACGGTTTACGGTTTCGGAGGAGTAGCGATAACAAGGTTTTGTTGCACAAGGGGTGACAACTTTTGAATGGGTCAAGCTCGGGGGACAAGAATGAAATCTTTGAAATAGTTTTAGAAGGACATATTACAGATGCAAAGATATTCAGTATATGTTGAAAGACAAAAGAGATATTAAAAAAGCTAATTTTCTCATATTTTGAATGACCTTGACCTTTGACCTTCACAAAAATTTCAAGGTCAGAGGTCACAAAATCTATTGCAGTTGGTCCCATGTCTTTACGACTTATCGTTTAGAGAATTTTGTCATTATTCGTAAACATCAAAAACTCTCAGGGGCAGTAATTTACTAAAGGGCTCGACAAATCGTTTCGCAATGAAAAGATTGAAAAGTCCTCTCGAGTAGTCGAAAACATTGGTGAAGGTTCTGTATCTCTACGGTTTATGGTTTCGAAGGAGTAGCGATAACAGGCTATTCTTCCGAAAGGGGCAATAACTTCGTAAGAGGTCATGGGTCAAACACGGGGGGTCGTTTTTCGAAATAACTTTTAATGTCCAGTATCATGAACTATAAAGTTTTTCGATAAGTCTTACGGTTTCAAAAGTCCGGGAAGAAAAAGAAGAAGAATAATAACTAGTAGACTAATTGTTCTCGAACAATTAGAGGTCTTTCCACCTTCTTTAAATTTCATATATATTTCTTTTTTTTTACTCTCTGGAGTTAATTTTTATACAAAAAGAATCCATAAATGGCTTGAAAGATAGAAAAAAAATGAAATTTTTTAAAAATTTTGAATGACCTTGACCTTTGACCTTGAACAAATATTCAAGGTCAACAATCAATGGTCACATTGCACTTGACCCCATGCTTCTACAACCTTAAGTTTTTAAGTTAGAAGGTTTAACAGTAAGCGCAAAGACGTTAATGGGCGATAACTCATATAAGGGGTCACCGGATACTTTTGCACTGAATAGTTTGAAGTTGTGTCTAAAGACCCTGAATACATCAGTGAAGGTTTCGTGTCTCTGCGGTTTACGGTTTCAGAGGAGTAGCGATAACAAGGTTTTTCACACAAGGGGCAATAACTTTTAAAAGGGTTAAGCTTAGGGGACAAGATTGAAATCTTTGAAATAGTTTTAAAAGTACATATTAAAGATGTTAAGATATACTGTATATGTTGAAAGACAAAAGAGCTATAAAAAGAGCTTTATTTCTCATATTTGGAATGACCTTGACCTTTGACCTTGACATAAATTTCAAGGTCCAAGGTCAAAGATTCTAATGCAGTTAGTTTCATGTCTCTACGGCTTATCGTTTTGAAAATTTTTCATTTTTTGTAAACTTCAAAAACTTTCAGGGGCAATAACTCAGTAATGGGGTTGACGAATACTTTTTCAGTGAATAGATTGGAGAGAGTACTCAGTTAGTTGAAGACATTGGTGAAGGTTTCCTACCTCTACGGTTTAAGGTTTCGGAGGAGTAGCGATAACAAGGTTTCTAGCGAAAGGGGCAATAACTGTGAAAGGGGTCATAGGTTATATGCGTTGGGTCAAATTTGTTCATAACTTTTTATGACTTTTACGACGAACAAAAAATCTTTTCGATAAACCTTGAAACAAAAAATCAGCGGAAGAAAAATAATAATAACTAGTAGACTAATTGTTCTCGAACAATTAGAGGTCTTTCCACCTTTAAATTTCATATATTCTTCATATTTAACTCTCTACTCTTTATTTTTATACAAAAGAAACCAGAAATGGCTTGAGAGATGGAAAAAATGAAAATTTAAAAATTTTGAAATGACCTTGACCTTTGACCTTGAACAAATATTCAAGGTCAAAGGCCAAGGGTCACATTACAATTAACCCCATGCTTCTACCACTTTTAGCTTTAAAGTTATAAGGTTTACTAGTAAGCGCAAAGACATTAAAGGGCGATAACTCATATAAGGTGTCATCGGATACTTTCGCACTGAATAGATTGAAGTTGTGTCTAAAGACACTGAATACATTAGTGAAGGTTTCGTGTCTCTGCGGTTTACGGTTTCAGAAAAGTAGCGATAACAAGGTTTTTTGCACAAGGGGAAATAACTTTTAAAAGGGTTAAGCTAAGGGGACAAGATTGAAATCTTTGAAATAGTTTTAAAAGTACATATTAAAGATGCAAAGATATACTGTATATGTTGAAAGATAAAAGAGCTATAAAAAGAGCTTTATTTCTCTTTTTTGGAATGACCCTGACCTTTGACCTTGACATAAACTTCAAGGTCTAGGGTTAAGGAATCTAATGCAGTTAGTTTCATGTCTCTACGACTTATCGTTTTGAAAATTTTTCATTAATTGTAAACTTCAAAAATTTTCAGGGGCTATAACTCATAAAAGGGCTCAACGAATCCTTTCGTAATGAATAGATTGAAGAGTCTCCTCAATTAGTCGAAGACATTGGTGAAGGTTTCGTACCTCTACGGTTTACGGTTTCAGAGGAGTAGCGATAACAAGGTTTCTAGCGAAAGGGG